GATGTGGCGGATGAAACTTGTGGGACATTTTGACTTGGAGTATTTTGACTTTGAGCATCCGTTGAAACCAATTATAGCACTCCATGCTTTGAAACAAATCACGACAGCAGTTCCTGATCGTCCTTCTTAAGCAGAGAACCCGAGTAACAAGACCCCCAGCACATGACACTTAATTTGTCAATGCTCACAAACATTAAAAGCTGATTACCACTATTAGTACAATCGCTGTATTAATACGCAGATGCATCACAATGTTTTAGCTGTCGCTTAATGTTATTAGATACAATCTAAACCATACAAGCAAATGCGTGCTACACATCAGAATTGTCACAATGATTGGAGTGGAGGCACTGACAACAGCAATGTTAATGACGACAGAGCAACCACAATTGCGATGTGAACACGGTGCCAATTACTCACTGACAGCGAACAGCTCAAACCACAGCAACCAACATGAAAAACAAGAAGACACCAACCACAAAAACCACCCAGAACAACAAACAGGAATTGGAGCATAAGACAAACATGTCCAAATCACAGCATCAACATCGATGTTATACAATCTTGACCTGAGCCTGAACCCAAAAAAGTGGCTTGTAACATCACAATTCCAGTGAAACATGTTTCAATAAATTGGGTTTACAACGTCAAAATTTGCTTAAGCCAAAAAAATGTGGTTTACAACGTCAAAATTTATGTAATTAAGCCAAAAAAATGGGGTTTACAACGTCAAAATTTACGTAAGCCAACAAAAATGGAGGTTACAACGTCAAAATTTGCGTAAACAAAAAAAAATCGGCGTTTACGTCAAAAATTACGTAAACAAAAAATTGGGGTTTACAACGTCAAAATTTACGTAATAAGAGAAAAATATAGAAAAATTGGGGTTTACAACGTCACCGACAACGTCAACCAGAACCGGACACGTCAGCCGAAACACCCAGGGCCAATTATAGAGAAAGGTGTTTGAACCCATATTCCCACATATGCTATTCCTACATATTCCTACATCATTCCGCTCTTGTCGCCATCCAAGTCGACCAAGTTTCAGAAAGATTTTGTAGGCCATCCGCCTCTCTCGGCCCTTCCTGCAACGGGAGGCTTCAGTGATCCCATGCCCCGTTGAAACCGTAGCATTCCATGTTCCCACAGTGCCCCATATATGCTCATCTGATTTCATCCCCTACTAAGCCTTGTTTTTTTGGGGCGGATGTTTGCTATGATCGGGGGATGAGATTGTTCAATGATTTGTATGAAAACGTCGTTGGTCCAACAGTTCCCATGTGGCCCTCGGCTGTGTCCACTTGAAACAACTAACATCAGCCCATACCAATATTAGATATAATATAATATATATATACAGTATATGAAATCGCGTTCCCAAAAGATACTGCGGATGGGCCTGTCACAAAACAGCACAGTATCCAGGATGTCCCAGGGTTTATCATGATTCCTCTCCCAATTCTTTCCAATGTGGGGGTATTACCCATGGTGATTAGATGTGATTAGCCATGGTGATTACCCAAACGTGCCCGGGCTTTATCGGGATGATGGCACATGTTTTTTTTCCAAAGCGTGCACTGTTGATGTGACCGACAGCGTCTTGCTGCCGGTGTGGAATGGGGTGTTGTGCTGCAATGCGTTAATTTGGTAGACATGTAACATGTAGTTTAAAACTATTTGATCTCAGGAAGACCAAGTACAAATCAACTCAAAGTTTCTACCACAGCACCTATCAGGTTAGATGAACACGTCTTGAAGGACAATGTTTCACACGGTTTTATGAGAGATCATGGTTACAACCTGGGAATGGATCATAGGATCATAACACAAAACCCCACTAGGAAACTACATGATGAGCATCTCACGTTGGAAATTCACCATTTAGCAACCGATGATTTTCTCAGCTTTTTTTTACCTCAGCCAGACGGAGGATTTCCCAGCCAGCCATGTTTGATTTCAGGGTATCCGATGGGAAACCCGGAAGCCAACTGAACCGCAACAAGAAGTTACTAGGACGACCGACCTAGGACCAAAAGACCCACCAGCCACATATAGTTCCATCTGCTACAATCAATCAATATATATATATAAATGTATAAATTCACACTGCAGAAAATTTATTTATACCAAAAATCCAGATGTATTCTTCTTCAGATCAGAAACTCAGGGCAAACATCAACCTTAGAGTCTGAAACATGTGCCATCGCCGCAGGATTTACGGCTTCCCAATGAGTGGATCCTGGCCACTGGAGCGGACCCTGCACAAAGCTCCCCAAGCTTTCCTAAACTCCAATTCTGGGCTCAAACTGGGAACACAGAGATGATTCGCTCCACAGCTCTATTTACAAGTTAAGTTTTCCATAGAAATCAAGGTATGCTTATAGTAACTTGAAAACATTGAAAAAATATGCGAACATCAATGAAGAATAAATGGAACAAATAGAACATCATAGAAAATCAATGGACAATACGTGGAAACCATATACTGTAAAACTATCAAGGAGCGCCTGATTGTCAGCTGTGTTCTCTGTATCACAACATGCTGTCGCAGTGCGCCAGAACGCGCCCCCTGTAGCCTTCGGCTAACAGAGAACTTGCTAAATGGGCCTCTGGTTGGTCCAACCTGGTGAAATCACTGTTGATCCTTTAATTGGGCATTTGACAAATAGCAATATGCCGAAACTTTGCGTTTGAAAGCTAAGTGTCAATAGTGTGATAATCATGTAGGAGCACCAAAGGAACTGAATGAACTCCTTGTTTGATGTTACAAGTACTGTGTGAGGATGGATCTCTCCCCAAGTTATCTGTACCTGAATGTTGAACTGAGGGGTTATGTGCCATATGTGGTCCCCCATAGAAACAACATCCACGATGTCATGGATGATATATGCCTCATACTCTCCGGTAATTCATCATAACTATGTTCAACATGGTCCATTTAGATCATTTAGTGGAATGATTTACCTATAAAAACATTGTTGTTCTCCATAGCTATGCTAGCCCCGAAAGTACTTCCCAGGTGCCTATTGAAGGTCACCAATCCTTGAACCCACAGCAACTTTGTGATTCGAACCCTCCATCCATCCCCTATCTAAGAAAGCCTAGGATAAAAACAAAGGTTTCGAAAGTTGTTCTGACCTCAAACTGATGGCAATGAATGTCGTGATTCACATTGAAACCAAGCAACACTTGCGATCCAACCACTTAGAGGTCCACAGTCATCGCCAACATTCATCAGAAGCTGCTGGCGTAGGCTTTGCGGGTGAAGAATTCCATCAAAATTCTGAACCCACAACTGGCGTAAAGACGAGCGCCAATCGCAAACTGGCATCATGACAACAAAACGTTGTGCTAAGGGTCTGGTATCATGTCTATACATATACATATACATATATACATTACATTACATTTCATTACATCACATCACATCACATCACATTACGTTACATTACATTACACCACGCAACAGTCACTACATTATATTACATTATTTTACATTAGGTTATTTTCCGGACATTACGTTACGTTACGTTTCATTACATTACATTACATACCATCACAGCACATAACATCACAAAACATAAGATAACATAAGATAACATTACATGCATTACATACATACAAACATAAAAAAAAAACATACAAACATTAAACAAAAAACATACATACATACATACATACATACATACATACATACATACATACATACATACATACTTACATGCATACTTACATGCATACGTACATGCATTACATACGTACGTACGTACATACATACATACAAAACAATACAATACAATTACAATTACAAGTGCAATACAATACAATACATTACTTACATACATACATTCATTACATTACATTACATTACATTACATTAAATTACATTAGATTAGATTAGATTACATTACATACATTACATGTCATTACATGTCATTACATTGCATACATACATACATTACATACATTACATACATTACAAATATTACATACGTTACATACATTACATACATTACATACATTACATTACGTTACATTACGGTTTGTTATGTTATGGTACGGTATTTTACATTACATACATACATGCGTATGTACGTACATACATACATACATACATACATACATACATACATACATACATACATACATAAATACATGCATCCATCCATCCATCCATCCATATGACATATGAGTTTGTTAATGGTATCTATGATACGTCATGTTGAAAAAAAAACACGGTAAACCATTTGTGATTTTTGGCGCCGTCAAGGATCGTCTTCGAAGATTTGCCGCTCACCTCCTGGCATGCACCCTTGAGGTGTTTTCTGCCCGTGGTGAACCCAATGTAGCTGGCAAATGGATGTTCATCCCCTGAACATTGTAACTATAGCCATATCACGAATATATAGTTGGGAACAAGATTCAGATAGATTAACCCTGTAAGCCTGTTGATATACATGCTTTTTACCGTGATCTACCGTATATTTATATATATATTTACACTCATATATATATATATTATACTAGTAGATAAATATTATGGGTAAATGGAGAACACCAGAATACAACATATAATGAAATACATGCCACTAAAGACTCCTGCGGTATCACATGATCATTCATCTCAAAGGCGGGCTCGCAGTCGTTGGGCACATCTTGTTGCGCATGCACCGCTCCCATGATTAAACCACTCAAGGTCTGATTATCACATGAAGAAAACACAGCGCAAGGAAACAATAGGAAACAAACATTTTGAATCTTCCGTCGAATTGTGGAACATGACGCTAGTCCCCAAAAAAACATGTCGCCCTATCCATTTCAAACATCTAATTGCTTTGGATTGGATTACTGAACTGGCCGCAATCACCCATTCCGATCCATTCTGTGCGCATCAAGTAGCGCTTGATACGACCCACATTGGCACTCATTGTGCTACTACCACCGCCGGCAGGATTCGAACTTTTGCCTGAGATTGAGCAAGGAAAGCGCCCATGTGCTGGTGATATCAAATGACAATGGCATTTTATAAGTCCAACAAAACGGATGGATAAATCATGAGTTTCTTTGATTTTGCATGGTTTTGCGGTGGCACCCCTCCAAAATTCTCAGTTGCAGGGCCAATGCTTGAGTCGTTGGTGATATGGAAACAACTACAGTACTAACTTGGGAGAACATAGCATGAAATTGACTACATGAATTGCAAATAATTACGTGCAAACTGATTTTAAGTTGGGCTCAGAATGTGATTCAGGACTGACCAAATGGGATTCAGAAAGAGTGGTGTGAAACAGCTCGGTCAAACAAACCCTTGATCATCTCCTCAGCAAAAAAAAATATCTTGGGCATTTGTGGGAACATTGGCCAGTGCTACGGTGAAGTTCATCAAATGGACATGCCATCTTCATCTCGGGGAAACTTAAAACCATTCCAACAACACCATGGATTAGCAATTGACAAACTCCAAGAACCCATGTTACGTTCATCCCAAACGTGAAAAACACATTCCGATCAACAACACATTTGTTTTGTCTGAACGTTGGGCCCCCCAAGTGCACAGGTTTAACTCATCAGGTTCTATTAGTATTTAAATTGCCATATATTGCCATAAACTTATGGGATCCCCAATGCTCAGACACACCGATTTCCCGAACCATGTTTTTTTCGCAGATGAGTAATTAGCACAGGTACATTTACACATCCCGCCGGATGGTTTACCGCGCGTGCGCCTTTCGACGTTTTTTCTAAATCCAGCTTTGTGTGCCTCTTCTTCAGTTGCTGGTATTGGCAGCATTTTCTTAGCGTCAGGATTTGTGTCTTTCTTGTTTCTGTCCTCAATTTCATGGGGAATTTTATTTTCGTCCATTTTGTGTGGTTCTGGCCACGTCTTTTGAACAGCCACGTTCCAAATCATGCTTCTGCAGGATGTACATTTTTTTCGTGACTTTGCATTTTCCGATAGGAAAATAACGGAAAAAACAGACTTGTTGAAGAAATCATCTTCAGTCTTCGGCTCTTTTACATCTTCACATCGCACGAAGATTCTCTGCGGTGACATGGCTGAGGTTCGCAACAAGCTCCCAGCGCCATTGCCATTGAGTGGCGTATTGCCACAGCTAAGGGTTCGTGGAAATGGGCATCAGGTGTTACTGCAAACGGTAGAAAAGATCTTACAGCGTAGCATCAGGTGTTACTGCAGATGGTAGTGAAAATCTTACAGCGTCGCGTCTGGTGTTACGGCAAACGGAAAGGAAGATCTTACAGCGTTATTACCCCGCCCCACCTCACCTACCCCAAATGCTAGAGACGGTCTCATAGCGTAGCATCACCATAATGTGCAAGTGCACATGAACGTTGTTACCCCACCCCACCCCATCCCACCCCAAATGCTAGAGACGATCTCATAGCGTAGCATCACCATAGTGTGCAAGTGCACATGAACGTGATTACCCCAGCCCACCCCACCCCAAATGCTAGAGACGATCTCGTAGCCAAGCATCACCATAGTGTGCAAATGCACATGAGCGTGATTACCCCACCCCACCCCAAATGCTAGGGACGATCTCGTAGCATCTCGTAGCGTAGCATCACCATAGTGTGCAAGTGCACATGAGCGTGATTACCCCAGCCCACCCCACCCCAAATGCTAGAGACGATCTCATAGCGTAGCATCACCATCCCCAGCCCACCCCACCCCAAATGCTAGAGACGATCTCGTAGCCAAGCATCACCATAGTGTGCAAATGCACATGAGCGTGATTACCCCGCCCACCCCACCCCAAATGCTAGAGACGATCTCATAGCGTAGCATCACCGTAGTGTGCAAATGCACATGAATGTTATTACCCCACCCCCCCCACCCCAAATGCTAGAGACGATCTCATAGCGTAGCATCACCATAGTGTGCAAATGCACATGAACGTGATTACCCCAGCCCACCCCACCCCAAATGCTAGAGTCATAGACAAATTTGAGGCCTTGAGGAAATGGCCTTGAGGAAATGCAAAATTTTGAGTATGTTTTAACCTCAAAACCACTCAAAAGGCTTCAAACATGCTCACACAGCACTCCAACACGACTGTTTACCCCAAAAATGTACTCAGATTGACTCTCAGACAACTCATTTAATATCAAATCCAAGATTTTGAACTCGACGTTTCCTAGCGGCCATTTGGTCACCACGCCCAATTTGTGTATGATAGAGACGATCTCATAGCGTAGCATCACCATAGTGTGCAAATGCACATGAACGTTATTACCCCACCCCACCCCAAATGCTAGGGACGATCTCGTAGCGTAGCATCACCATAGTGTGCAAATGCACATGAACGTGATTACCCCAGCCCACCCCACCCCAAATGCTAGAGACGATCTCGTAGTGTACGTAGCATCACCATAGTGTGCAAATGCACATGAACGTTACATCACACCCCACCCGACCCGACACTGCAAAAACGCACGTGCAGTTTCCCAGCCGCCAGAATTTACATGTACATATGAGCCGCGGACTTATTTATTTGGTACATAACGCAATTGACGGGGTGTTCCTACCTCGTTCTCCGTCATTCTCCATCATATTATGACACACACATGCACACATACACACACACATATATATAAATAATTATAAATATATATATAATATACATAAATATCATAAGATAATTCTATATGTATATTGCTGTACTGTCCCATTTTATGGCCAAAAAATGTTAAAAGTTACACTAGTCCGGTCACCTATCCGCTCCCGCGGTCATCCCATGCCATGACACTTGGAGAAATCATATGCTCGTGAGGGCTCAAGGGTCCCGGTGGGCTGTAGTCGCTGTCTGGCAGAAAGTCGCCTCAAGCGCCCACGGGGTCCGTGCGGCCGTTGACGTGCCGGTGATGCTTAAACTAGCCATCCATGAAAATGATGGGAAAAATGGTGCTAATCAGGGTCACATCTGATGGCTCATAAATAAATGATAATTAGGAGATGGTCATTTGGGTCATCATCCCAAAATTATAGCTTATGTTGAAAATGATGAAACAATTTCCACAAACCACCCATCATATTTTCAGCTATACGATCATCACGCCGGTGAGTTCATAAGTTAGCCTGGCTATATATATATATATACACATACAGTATTCATATACACTATAAATGCGTATATATGGGGGGTTCCTAAGATAAGGGTACCACAAATCATCCCAATTTATAATACAATTGTAGTGTTGAAACCCATGGAAAGCTCCCTATGATGCTATGTTTAAGAAAACTAAAATTTAAACATCTTTGGGCCACCACCGTACCAAATTCCAGAACCTGCGGGAGTGGTGCGATGATAGGGGTGCCTGGCCATACTGCTTGCAAGCAGGGCCTCATAATCCCAATTGCAACCCACTTGAAACCCACGCATACCCATAAAAAAAAGTGGATTTCTGGTGGCATTTCGGGGCTCATCAAACAACCTTCCCATCTTCAGCCAAGGGACCGTCTCCTAACTCAGAACCCCTCACCTTCATGACCTGCAGAAAATGGGAGAAGTCGATCCTCAGCAAGCGAAAAACCGCCCGGCCACCGGCAGTGCATGGATAATACATATTGCTCACACACACACACATATATATATATATATCATACATATGTACATGTATATATGCATTGCATGCATGCATGCGTGGTATACTAAACTTACTAAACATTTCATCCAAACATGCTTGCAGGGCACAATCCCCCGTGATAGTTCCAAAATGTTCCAAGATTTGCGACTTTGATGGGTTTTGGGGTGTCCTCCAGTAGGCACATGATTCTTACTGTGGATGGACAAGCGATCCTGCACCGGTAACTACTAGCAACAATTAGACACTGCAAAGTATATGGGATTATAATGGGATGTTACCAGGATGCTTACCATCTATCAACTGGTGCAGGATTTCGCAACCATCGTAACCCGGATTTCTTGGAGATTCGGGATACAAGATTCAAGGTCCAAGGTGCGAAGAACAAGTTACGCTACTGCTGTGCAATCGGCATCCCCCATTTTCACACTGCAGCAGGCACAAACCCAACCTGTTGACATCAGGTATGTTTCATGATTGAGCTTACTACCTGTTTGATATCTATTTTGGTGAACTCCCATCAAATCCCATTGCTCTCCGGTACCCGACCATCAAACATGGTTTGCTGGAAGATCCTTCATTAATATATATATATTTTTATCACAATTAAAATAGCTGTTATGGGGGATTTGTTTACTGCTATGATTGATATCGTTTAATTGTTTGATAACCCTCTGGTAAACTAACATAACTATGGAAAATCACAATGTTTTATGGGTAAATCAACTGTAAATGGGCCATTTTACATGTTCAATAGCTATGTTAGTCATTACCAAAGGATACTGGAGGATAATCTAAGATTGACCTGGATTTGTAGATTATTTTCTATTAATAAGCATTAATAATCATTAGTTACCATTAATCATCATAAATCACCATTGATACACCCACAAAATCCCAATCAAATCGCTATGAAATCCTATAAAATCCCTATGAAGTCCCAAAAAATCCCACTGGAGGATCAAATCCTATAAAACCTTTTATAACCATTGAAAACCTATGAAATCCTATAACAAAAATCCCACCAAATCGTCCCAGCTTCGCTTCGATCCCCACCTGTTGCAGCGTGCGGACGCGCGCCATCTTCACGGCTCCACCTACGACGGTGACGGCACTGGAGGAACGCCAGGTTTGGAGTGCGTAGATGCCCTGTAAAATTAAAAAATACTGCCTGATTTGACACACCCAAAAAGGGGGAGAAACATGTTAAACAAGTCTTTTTACCTGGGTATGACTCAACTTCCATCTTTCATAATCTTTCCATCTATATACTGTACGTGTCTGAGTTTTTCTGGTATGTCCAGCCAAAATTACCATGTGTGCATGAAAAATGATCATGATATTAAGATATGCGTCCATGTTTCTTTTCCATATGTTTTTGGATAGTAAAATACCAAGCCGGCCATCTTCCCTGCCGCACCCAGAGCCTGGAAGAGTCTTCACGGCCTGAGACCAACGACGCGGCAAAGACGGTTGGACGCTTCTGTTCCTTGGACGCATCCTGAATTACATAAGATGTATTCAACATACCCGGATGTATATATTGTAAACTGTTAGTATAAATGTGAACATATAATCTCACAATCTAATACAATCTATATCACCTCCCTAATAGTTACAATGTTCATCAACATTCTATTGTTTTTTTCAGGAACGCCCCCTAGTTATCAGATGTTATCATAAGTTGGATTACATATATATAATCCCATCTAAATCTAGTTGGTGGTTTCAATCCCTCTGAAAAATATGAAAGTCAGATTGGATCATCATCCCAGCTATTGGGGGAAATCACATTCATGTTCCAAACCACCAACCAGATATTTGGATTATAATCCCATCTACCCTCTGGTATATTAACATAGACCCTGGCAGTTGTCGGGGTTGGAAGACTAGTTTCCACTATAAATTGGTCATTTTCAGGGTCATCAAGTTAATCTACCAGAGGGTAAAATGTGAGGCCCCCAAGATAGCTAAGTTGGTTTATAACTTCAATAACTATGGTTTGTGGTACTTGTAACTATAGTTACTGGGGCGAATCTAAACCAACTTATAACTGGGGGGCCTCACATTGTATCATACAGCGTTGTTCCAAACCAACAAACAGCGCCCGCACCTTGGTCAATTCCTTGGCCGTCACCGTGTCTTCCTTATTCCGACTCAGCTGTCGCCAGAAACCTCGGTACATCAGCATTTGAACGGTAAATAACATGGTAAATCAACTGTAAATGGGACATCATGGGACATCTATACCGTAGCTATGTTACTTGACTGGAGGGTTTCTATGGGGAATCCAGAAGCAATTTCTATAGTGGTTTCACTTATCTTCTAACCCCCCAAGTCATGGCAGGGTCGCCATCTTAATTTACCGGAGGGTATGTTGGATATTAACGATGCACATGTAATGTTGGTTGGGAAACGCAATGTAGGATATGTATGTGTGACATGTGCTCAATAAATATATACATAACTGATCATACACGTGGATATAAATCTAATAATTAATCTAGATGTGTACCCCCTGCTAAACTACCATAGCTAAGGAAAATCACCATGTTGAATAAGTAAATCAACGCACATTTAGTGGCCATGTTCAATAGCAGAGTTATATAAAGTTAACAAATAACCGTCAAGGGTAACATCATCTTAACTCATCTTACAGTACCATCTGGTTATGACTAACAGTTTGCCATGGAAAGATCCAACATTTTTTCATAGGTAAACCATCTATTTGTATATGGGCCATCTCTACCATGGCGAACTGTTAGTCATAACCACAGGATGGTGCCCCCCAGTTATAAGTTGGTTTATAAACCCCATTAACTATAGTTATATCTGCCATAAACCATAGTTATGGGATGTTATGGGAGTTATAAACCAACTTAGCTAACTATGGGGCACCACCTTGCAGGTTGGGTCAATCCCCATGGCTTTCACCGCATTTTTCAAGAGGATGGAACCCTCGGCTATCCGAAGCCGAGGCTCCAATGAAGGACTCCACGGACTCCTTTTCCTCGGAGATTCGGCGTGGGTTTTTCGGAGGGAAATCAAGTGTTTTCAAGGGAAATCGAATGGGAGATCTCCAAGATCCAATTGATGGAGGTACTGACTGTACCATATTTTTGGCCATATTTTGCTGGGAGATTCCCCAATTCATTTGGGTAAATGAAATAATATTGCACTAACCTGAATTATATAATAAGGCCATAAAAGGGGATGATTTCCCGAATCCGAACCATTATTCCAGGGTTCGGGAGAACAGTGAGGTCGTGATCAAATTTACCCAGATCTGTGTATTATACTATATAATGATACTATATTATATGGTGTGTAAAAGTAGACTTGCATACATTTGTTGTGCATGTAAAATCACTAAGTTTTTGCAAAGTATATAATACTTCCATAGACAGTTCTAATCATTTCTCATGAACAATGTGTGCAGATGTGTGGCAGCCCCTTGACCTAGACAAAATATCAAATCTCCTAGCCTGGTCTGAACTAATGCAAACGGCAATCTAATATGAGGAGAAAGAACTTTCGCCACGGAGAAAATCACCCTTGCACAACCAGTGGTCCCCATCATTCTGTATAATTTACTGTACTCACCTTTACGAATCGGTTGATACTATTTGGCCCAGTAAGTTGCGCAATCACCCAAGCACCTAGCTCCATGTGAGCTATTTTAGACTTCACACAACATGTTCTGTGTCAAAGAAAATCACTAGTTTGTAACCCAAATCCGGCTTGTTTGCAAAAACGTGGTTTTAAGTTCCAATTCCCAGATGTCGCTGATTGAATGCCTGAATTGGTTTGAGGCTTAGAGGAATGCTACAAGAAACCATTTAATCATGTTCAATCCCGATCTTGGCTAAACCACCAATGTTTATCCGTTCTTGACAATCCCAATTTTGGAAACATCCCACCCATTTTTAGACCATGGATAAATTACAAACTCAAATAAGGTGATTTTAGGATGGTTCCCTATACTAATTAAGCATGATTATGCATAATTTATAGTTGGGTCGCAATGAGCTTTGCGCATAGTTTTGGTGTCTGGCAATCGCCTCCATGGCTGGAAAATCCAGCAAATTCGTGAATGATTTTGCCAGCGAACTAAACCTCCCATTAAAAAAAATCCTTCGGGGATTTCTCTCCGTATTTTGCCATGATTTTCTCAACATGTCCTGATTTTCACCAGAAAACCTCCATAGCTACGAGATATTCCAAGTCTCGATGTTAGAAGCTTCTCCTAGGCTTCGCCAGAGGTGCAGCCTCTCAACGTCCTGGACCAAAATTCTGGAGAAAAACACAGGAAATCCTGGAGAAAAAAAAAAACGTAGGAAAGCATGCTAATAAATGGAAATTTAGTACCGATTTCATAGATTCAACACGTGTTATTTTGATGTTTTTTTCCACTGGGGTTGGTATTTTTCATGGGGAAATCATCAAAAATAAACCAGTTGGACCTCCCCGGGCGCTGGTTACGGAGGGTAGTCATCGAAAAAAGGTTCGCAAAAGGTGGGCATGTTTGAAATTGCCCATATTCCATCCACTTCAGCATTGTTATGCCATATGGAACAATCTGGAAGAATCTGAGATTTAATCGGACACCTATGAAACATATTTTTGGAGCATCTATGAGAAACCTAGAGAATAGATCATTTTTACGATGAGATGTGGAACAAGATGGAACATTTTGGAACAATATGGGGATATATCATGCAACTTAGCATGATCAGTTTGTTTTTCTTTCTTTTTGAACATATGGAGATGTTAATTTAAGCCATGGGTGAAGAGAAAAACACATTGACATGAGAAATGAGATAGTAAACATGTATGCGGCTGTCAAAAAACTCCTTGTTCATGAAATGGACATTAACATAATTTGGAAAGGCCCAATCGCCAACCACAGTTTTGTAGCAATTTTACCACTATTGTGCAATATAGATTTGCAGGGGGTATCGCTAAGGCTAGACGCAGCTAAAGTAGATATGATATTGTATTTGTAGTAGTCGTCGCAGCATCAGCAGTGGTGGTAGTAGTAGTAGCAGCATCAGCAGTAGGAGAAGTAGCAGCAGTAGCAGGAATTGTAGTACTAGTAGCAGTAGTGGTAGTAGTGGTAGTACCAGCAGTAGTAGTGGTGGTAGTAGTGATGGTAGTAATGGTAGTAGCGGTAGTAGGGGTAGAAGTAGTAGAAGTGGTAGAAATGGTAGAAGCAGAAGTACAATAGAAGACGTAGCAGTAGAAGTAGAAGTACAAGAACAAGTGGCTAGGGATCCTGTGCCTTTGGGAGAACTTGGGTATCACTTAGGCATATCGCTAAAGCATCGCTATGGTATCGCTAAAATCAACGCGTTTTTTTGTAGAATCAGGCGAGTGCATTATCATTTGCTTATAAAACTGTTCCTCTCCCTTTCCCTTCCTTTTCCTTTCAATCTTCTTTTCTTTTCCTGTCCTTTTTCTTCCTTTTTCTGTCCTTTTCCTTTCGTTTCCTTTCTCTTTCCTTCTCCTTCCCTTTCTCTTTCCTTTTCCTTTCTCTTTCCTTTTCCTTCCCTTTCCTTTTCCTTTCTCTTTCCTTTTCCTTCCCTTTCTCTTTCCTTCTCCTTCCCTTTCTCTTTCCTTTTCCTTTCTCTGTCCTTTTCCTTTCCGTTTCCTCTCTCTTTTTCTTTCCTGTTCCATTTTCTTTTCCTGTTTCTTTCCTTTTGCAACTTATTAACTATTGAATTCAAAATGGGGTAATTATCGCTAGGAAAGGTCCCATCGCAAACCTCATTGTTTGCATTTTCTGAAAACCAATGTCCAGCCAATACATAGCTTAGTATCTGCGAGTTTGACGGTTGCTCATGTAGTGTTTTTGAAAGGTTGGATGAAATACTTCATATCATTGCTTTGAAGGCATTGTTGCCACTTTTTCACTTGGAATCAACAATTGAATGAAGTTGAGCAACCCAAAACAGAATTCAAAGCACGAAAGGGGAAGCCCCAGGAAGCACGAAGACATGCTGACCCTGAGGGATGCACAATACACAAGCAGAGTAAGATCAAATTCTTTGGGCCAAAGTAGTGGCTATATGATCCCAAATCCAGAAACACTTCCAACAAAATGGGGCAACTCATTACTGGAACAGGGGGAAGTGCTGCAGCTGTGCAAGAGTTTCGCTATATTTTTTGAAGATATCCAAAAAGTCAGGAAAGTGTGACAGCTTCATCGACAAATGTCTACTCGTACTACTGTTCAGTTGACTGGTGCTTATATATATTTAAATAATGTATATACGTATAATGTATATATATATATACAAATAATCTATATACATAATATATATATATATATCACATTATATAATATAATATAATATATATATGTATATAATATATAAACACATATAAAATAGGTATGGCAAATCCATGGCATTGTGCTCAACATTATCTGGATTTTCAGGATGCCAGCCAACTCCTTAGCATTGCTTTCCCAATAACACAAAAAATAACACGCTAACCTGTGCCATCCTGTGCCCCACAATATGCAGTTCCGGGAAGCATGATTTAAACTGATATAAAATGGATTTAACAATGATTTAAGCACGAAAACTACGAAATATCCTCTATATTTTTTTTTCCGAGATTTGAGGAACTACGGTTGATATATATTGATATATGCTAGCAACATGCTAGTATGTAACCCGTCGGAAGAGACTTGAAGCGCTGGCAGTCCCTTTGTGTCCTTCACGATCAGCAAGTAGTCGTTCATGGAAAGCTTGATTTCCTGGCCGGGGTGGCTCAAGCAGAAACGGAGCCACCCAAGCCATGCCAGGGTCCAGCCATGGATTGGGCTGGGTTGAACCCTGCCCAACACAAGTTGTGAAACTGGATTCAGGTGGGGCAATCGAGCCGTTAAACGATTCAAATGCTTCATGGCTTCAACCCCATATCCCAGCTATTCCCAACTCATAAATTATAAGTCGATTAACCATCATTCAAACTTTGAACATACGTAACATGTCTTTTCGAAGAGGGAACCACATTAAAATCATCCATATAATCAATCGCACCAACAGCGCATTCCACGCCTGTTTCCAATAGCCAATGCCCTGATCCTTCAAAATGGCACGAATGTCGTTGGCATCGATACTCACCTGGACAAAACACGCTGAGAACTCGAGAAAGAAAAAGGCTGCCCTGCAAAGAGGTGCTGGACGGTACAGTGGAAGTTTGCATACCTTCCTAAATTTCCTAAGGCTTACCAAATTTGCACCAATGTAAGTACAGTAATATTCGTCATGTCTCCACATGTCTCCCATGTGACAGGCGCAGCATGGCGCAGCTGCCTCTGGTCTGGAAGCCCAAACAGCTTGCAGCAGTTCCTCTTCCTGCGGCCCGGCCGGCTTCCTGCTCCCCGAACCCCTGGCACTAAATCAATCCAAGTATCCATAAAAAAGGTACATTTAGCACCCACAAATCATATCAAAACATCTAAATCATAGACCAAATACCTAATTGGATCCGTACGGCATACTACGAAACCACCATTTTCGTGGGGAAGTCTAGCATTCTAAGCTGCTTGACCCTCAACCATTGACCAGGCGCTTTTAGCCATGTCATGAGCTCCTCTAACATGCCATCCATGTTGTGGTCCATTGCCACGAAGGCATCCCAAAGCCTGTCAATGCTGTGGAACCAACCCAGCTGGAGCTTTGCAAAGAGCTGACTTGAAGAACGAGATTACGAGATTCCCCTTGTCCTTACCTATCTATACCTATCTAGCGAAACCACAGCCAAGTGAACCATGTGACCAGCCGGGCCCCCGCGCCGAATGTACTCGTCGTCCGTATAGCCGAGCTGACGTGGGGGATGCTACGACGCATGGGGGGCTTCCCGTGGGGAAACGACACAAAATCCGGGAGTCCCTCTGGACAAGTAATGGTTTAATTAACGGTTAATCATGTGTTATGATGGGTTAATATTGGTGAAGTTTGAGTCTCCTCTCATGTATGGAAAATGGATCATGTATAGACTATGTAACTTTTAAAGATTAAGGAATGTGATTTTCCAGTACTACTCAGAGTATATAAGTCCTTCAAAAAGATTTCAAACGGGTCTCACTACGGCCTTAGTCTTCAAGCATCCTTCGTTTTTGTGTGGACAAGTTAGACCATGTCGCGATATATTGTAATTACTACATGTTACAACCCTCTTGTAACCAAACATGGCAATGGAAAATCACCCATTTATAGATACTTCTCCCATGGGAAAAGATATGAACACCTCCATTTCTAGAGATTTTTCCATATTTCTCCATATTTCCTACAATGTGAGGCCCCCAAGATAGCTAAGTTGGTTTATAACTCCAATAACTATGGTTTATGGTACTTATAACTATAGTTGCTGGGGCGAATCTAAACCAACTTATAACTGGAGGGCCTACATGATTTTTCCTATATGTTCATATTAATTATTCACGTGGGATGGGATTTTCCAGCCATCTTTGATTCGCGAAGGGTCTGATAGGACCCATGGCACCCTTGCCGCGTCCACGGCTCCCCACCTTCCCTGCGGTCTCCATGCGTCCGACGTGTTGCATTTTGCGGATGCGATCGGCCACAAACTTGGCCTCACCAGCGGCATAACCCCGGTGACCTAAGTGGATAACCATAGTGTACCTTACCCTCTGAACTAACATAACTATGGAAAGATCCACCATGCTTTTAATGGGTAAATCAACTGCAAATGTCCATTTTCAATAGCTACGTTTGTTTACCAGAGGGTAACCTATATGGATAGATAACATTCTGGTAACTAATGTTTATACATGTTAATACCATAATGGATAGATAACATTAACATTAACATTATTTTTTTTGTGGGTAAAACAATGCCATAAACCATCCCCCAGTCATCACCGTTTTTATAGGTGGCTTATTATTGTTTTACCCACATTACATAACATTAGTCTACCAGAATGTCATAGCCTCCAGCAAACTAAGAGCTTGCCATGGAAGCCATGGACCATTTTAGTTCCATGATTTACCTATTAAAACGCTTATTTTTCCATAGCTATACTATGTTATAAATTACCAGAAGGTAGGGGTTATATTCCAACTGATGAAGGTTATCGCTCTGGTAAACATGGCTGGCTAGCTGGCAAACCCTCAAACTAAATGGAGGATATAATATGGAGGTGTATAGCTGGAAAAATCATCTGGAAATGAAGGATTGTTTATTGCCATGTTTGATGTCCGGAGAGTACCCCCCAAAAAAAAACTTTGGGGGTATAGTATCATGTATTTATTTGTATTGATCTATATGTATATCTCTATTTATCTATATTTATCTACATTGATCTACATTTATCTACATTTATCCCCAAGAATTGTCCATTGATGTTCGTTTTCTATGTGCATAAAAAACGCAACATTCAACGCAACGTTCAACGCAACGCAACCTGACCGAAGCTCGTCCGGCGCCACGAGGGGATCGTCCGGAGCGTCAACGGAGCGTCAACGGACAGTGATACTGATGGGTTGATGCTTGACATCATCACATCTACCTACTATGATTTACTATAACCCATAGGATCCATGTATGCTATATATGGTAACATTTACCATCCATATACCCCAAATGCTAGCATATATATATATATACCATACATGGATCCTATGGGTAATGGTAGATGTCAATGGATTCACTATATATATATACATATATATATAATGGGTTTACTATATATAATCAATGGGAGATCTCCAGGATCCAATTGATGGAGGTACGTTAGTACCATATTTTTGGCATGTTTTGGCCATATTTTGCTGGGATACTTTATTAATAATAGGTAGATGTGATAATAGGTAGATGTGATAATAGGTCATCATGCTATATATAACTATGACTATGACTATTATAATCTATTAATGATGATTCTTATAGTAATACTATTTATATATATATTACTTTACATTATACAAAACATTCCAAAACCCACTAAGGTTTTCTTTCGTATTACAGAAAAAACGCATGGCGCCACCCATCGGCCAAGTGACAAACTCCAGATATTCGTCCAAGTCCAATTCCCCCGAGCCTCAACAGATCGGATCTTACGGATCGCCGCGAGATCCGAAACGCGGGCGTTTCATGAAACGCTACACCAAAAAAAGATATATGGGATAAACATGGATAAAACCATGGATAAACCACCCAGCTAAGCATAGGGAGATAGGGATTATTCATGATTCGATCATGATTGGATTGATCCCTTCTTAGATTTACTGAGTCTATGCATTGTTGGGTCCATTTTTGGGGTATAGATGGAGCCGTGCCAGGATGGAAAGGAAAAACATGGCCAGGAAACCACAGAGATACCCTCCAGCAAACCAACATAGCAAAAAAACTAGAGAATGAATGGCCGATTTGTAGATGATTTACCTCTTGAAAAATGTGATTTACATTCATATTAATATAGCAGTAGCTCAGTAGATAGCTATGCTATGCTATGCTAGTTTGCCAAAGGCTATGATTAACGATAGTGAGTCCAACTAACCAATGATCCACAAATAGCTCCCCCATCTCAATGGCCCCATGTTCCACGTGCAGTTCATTCAAAACCTGAGGAAAGCCACCATCTTCGTCGAATTCCTCGACCAACTTTGGGATGATTTCTTGCCTAAATCCGCGAGGGTCGACCAGCCAGGCAAGTGACATCCGACGGCGGTCGAACGATGAGTTTTTATGGGATCTTGCTGAAGGTGGAGCTTCAAGGGGGTCGAAGAAATGATCTACCAACATGTTGGTTTGGCACATGACATGTCACAGGCTAAAAAAAAACACATTCAAATTTCGGCAACTCCACCCATATTTTGTGGGACCAAAAAAGGCATAGACATGCATAGACCATCATAGACCAACGACTTTGGGACAGCACCACCCAACAGATCCGTTTCCGAGCGGACAGTGGAACCCGTGGGAGGCCAGGCATCTGTTTCCCCGTGGCGCGAATGCCGCAACTTTCAAGGCAATCCATGCATTCCTGGCAGGCAGCAAAAAATAGACATATTTGGAGACGGTGGATTCAGTTTCCATACCCCTGGTAAACAAACATAGCTATGGAAAGTCACCATGTTTAATGGGAAAATCAACTATAAATGGTCGTTTTTTCAATAGCTCATAGCTATGTTAAATTACCAGAGGGTACATTCCCTTAAAAGCTTAGAGGAACCATTGGGAAACCACCGATATTTTAGAAATTTTAGAAGTCTAAAAGTTGGTGTTAGAATCATCTACCTCTGCACTCGAAACTCGGAAACTCGGAAAACTAGTGGAAACTGGTGGTAGCGGCAGCATCCGCTAAATTTGGACCAACCCCTTGCTAATTGTTTTTCCGTTGTTGCTGCTGCCGGGGCAACATCTGAATCCAATTAGCAAGAAAGGACCAAGGGTCAAACATTCCTGCAAACATAACTGAGAGTTCTTAGTACTGGTTTGAATACTGTACAGTAGATGACTTGACATTCCCTCGGAAGTAGACTATTAGCAAAGGACTGTAAGAACGTCCACTTCTCAAATGTTGATTGGAGTATGCTTGGAAGTTGTCCGATATTGCACAACATAAGAATAGATATGGGATCCTTTGTAGATAATTGTGGATCATTTTCCTTGCAAAACCATTGCTTGTCCCTCTTGATGTTGATAAACACCGCTGTGAAAATCCATCTGGGACTGGCCTAATCCTTTGATGAGAGCTGGTTTGTGGGCAAGCACCCCCAGAAAACGTAAGTCATTGGGAATCATCATCCCACATAAGGTGGAAAATAATAAAACAAACATGTTCAAACCACGAGCCAGCCTATATATATAATAATAATAAAATACTAATAATAATACTAACAACAATAATAATAACTATCCACGAATTGCCAAATGTATCCAAATGCTACAATCTTCTGTCACCATGAAACCAGGTTTTTTTGAATGCACCTATTGTTTGCTATTTCTTTATATTGAAGCAATGTTCTTGTTACAACTGTTACAACCATCTGTTATCATGTCTATTACGATCATATGTATGTAAATCTATGCATACCTACACCCTCTGGTACTTTAACGCAGCTAGGAAAATGACCCATTTCAAGAAAATATGTACCATGCCTTATGTATTTTGAAATTTTATATGATTTTACATAGCTGTGTGAGTTTACCAGGGGGTATATTAAACTATATTAGATTATATTAGATGATGTATGATGCGTGTAACAGTGTATATTGCAATATACATCTTAAATAGTGTATTCATGTATAATACCGCAATAATGATTCTTTGTAAAATGTATGATAGTAGGAATATTGATTGCTTTTAAGGGATCCCCGTCCCGAAAGAATTCCCAAATTCCCATGACGATGCGTCCAAGACGAGAAAAACCACCTCGACCCACCTCGACGCTGAGTCCGTTGGTGCAATCCGAGTCCGTGGCAGCGAAGACATCCGCAATCAACTCCTACAATGTGGGGCCCCCAAACGTTATAAGTTGGTTTAGATTCGCCCCAATAACTATAGTTATAAGTACCATAAACCATAGTTATTGGAGTTATAAACCAACTTAGCTATCTAGGGGGCCCCACTTTGTAGCGAGGGAGAAACAAATCGTGTCATCACGAACGCCAAGGTAGGGCCGTCCTGGAGCCATCCTGGAGAAAATGAAGTTTCTAAAAATTCTGAACCCATGTTGGTAATATGGAATTTTGATCAAGTTTCAAACTTGTTCCCATGTTCGATATTTTCTCTCTCCGGGAACAATTGGCCCGGATTTTTTTCCCTCAATTTCACAGATTCTATCTCATTGTAATAATCTGGAAGACACAAACGTGTGCTACTCTTAAATCCGCGAAGAAACAGAAACAATTCAGCATGAACAAATGATAAAGGCCCCAATGCCCCACTGGGGTTGGAAAAAATGCTGTACATTTACATGAAGGGTTGAATGTTGATCAATATTCCAGCCTCATGGGAAAATCTGGGCATGATGAAGACATGGTGAATATCAACAAAATCATGCAACCAAAGAGTAGCAAAGCTATCTATTCAGAGTTCAGAGGGGGCACATCTTTTGCAAAGTTGGCTTGAGGCTTCATTGCTCCATCATTTTATGTGGTTTGATCCCGGCTACTAGCTACACTGATACACTAGGCTATGTTTGTTCACGTTCGATCCAAGTTTGGGTTCGCAGATCACTAACCAAGCTGCTCAACAAGAATCACCCGCTCTGAATGCCTTGAAAATTAAATAAACATTTCGCAGCAAGAGGTACCATCTCAGCTACTCTGAATTCAGATTGATGGTTCAAACACCCCATGCAGCTGGCAAATGCATGATGGATGCTTTTGATATCATAAGCTTTGGCCCATTCCTGCATAGTAAGATATATTGAATATATACATATATACTTTATAATTATATATATATATATCATAATATATATATATATATCATAATAATATATATATATATATCATAATAAATATATATATATATATCCATCGCCTTCTCGAAGAGTTGAGCTAATATCAATAAATATATATGTATCTCTCTCTATCTGTATTTTCACATGCCTAGGAATAGATGATCATCCCAAAGTCTCTTTTCAAAAGAGCGCCAAGACACATTTTCAATCTCTCTGATCTGAGTCATGATGCGAAGCACCTCAGTGGTGATAGCTGATTTCCCCCAAATACTAAACCTGAATGTGTTACCTTCCTGTAAACTAAGATGTCTATGGAAAATCACCACTTGAATAGATCAATATATATATATAGGTATATCAGCTATAAATGACCAGTTTCAATAGGTTACATTACCAGAGGCTATACTTGAACTATGTCCAGCTATCTCAAAATATTCTCCCCAACCTCTGGTCTTACCCCCTCCATGGTGCGCCTGCCGGAAATCGAAGTGTGCCCTATCCACAGCGGTGCTGTCATGGAAGTCGTAGCCTGCCACTACGGATGGCTATAAAAAACGAATGGTGATTTCCATGGTGATTTCAGGGAAATCGAAACCGGAAATCACGGCTTTGCCATCAAAAAAAAAAGCCTATCAAAATCAATGGGAAATTTATGCAATGTTGCCAAATGGTCCATGTATGGAATATCCAACATTTGAGCAATTTGTTGGGCAGTTTAATCTTCAATATTCCATCAGTGGAGCATTTGGGGCTGTTCAATGTCGATTCCACCCAATAGGAATGTAAGGGGTAAGGGGTTTAATGAATTTGATAAATTCGTCATACCAGTATTTTCGACGATGCCAGTGGATCGTGAAGGTTCATATGGGGCCAATACTAAGAATATGCGACAATCTGATGCAATCTGGTGATGGCAATGTGGGTTGATGATCCAAGCACTCCGTCCCTCCAAATCCTCCAAACACACCAGGGAATTCCCAAACAAAGAAACCTGGAAGACGAGACTTCCGACTATGGATATGTCAATTGCGGGATTCGATCACGTTCACATTCAGTTTCTGGGGGGTCTTTCATGAAAACAAGACCTGGGCCACTTGAAAGCTGAAAGGTATATTGAACCACATGAGCAATTGGAATGCCAAATGATGCAATCAAAATCCTGGGCACATTGCTATATCTCACAAACTTGAAACATACCATGGCATATGCTCAAAGACTGGTGACGGCATGTAGCGGCTAAGTTATGACCATCAGATCTTGCTGGAGCAGTACAGTAACAAGTGCCCAGCTTCGGCAGATTCAAATGCAAAGATAGCTAAGTTTGATCATAACTAGGGCAACTATGGCAAATATGGTTTATAGCACAAACACACACACACATATATATAATATATATATATATATGTATATATATATATATATATATGTATATATATATGTATATGTGTATATGTGTATATATATTAATGTGGTTTTAACCAACTTACAACTGAGGGGCACCACCTTCTTTGAGTCGCACCATATCGCGTGCCCATTTTTTATGATGAGGGTCCCATTCCCAAAAGTGCTTTCATCGATCAAAATGGCACCCCTCCAATTCAACCAATCAGGTGGGGGGTCGCAATAAGTGGAATGTCAACCCTGAAATTTCATTCATCCTGGTTGATAAGACAATAGTAATAGATAATGATAATTATAGGCTGGTTCCTCCACTTCTACAGAGTGATCATGTCATCCCAAATTTGGTACCGACCCCATTGATATGTTCATTGGATTGGTTTAGCGGAAAATCTACCGGAAAACCAGTATCTGATAAGGAAAAACACTGGTTTCCTGTACATTTTCCCTGAAACCAACCCCTTGATATGGAGGTTAGAAAAATAGAGGCACCTCCAAAATGGATAGGTTTCTAATGGAACCTCAAACTAAATGGATGATTGGGGGTACCCCCATTTTAGGAAACCTCCATATGTACAGTCCACACATCAAAAAACGGCCCTTCATCGGCCTTGATCCACCAACTGCAAGCTCACCTCGAGTGGTGAGCCAAGCCCCTTTTTGGGCTGGAATCGCTCACAGAATTCTGGGTACAGTAAATTTGGCGATTGAGTTGGGTAAATGTTGATAAATATTAGGACATAATACTTAAAACTAGTAATATAATACCAACTAAATGTTGGCATATATGGAATGATAATACTTACAATAGATAATACTTACAATAGATATAATCTTATAGTAGTCTACAAGCTGTCACAGGTATTTGTGAATTGTGCTCATAGCTTAATGAAGCGGCTCCTGTGAGAGTAGCTTAATCAAGAGATATATATATATATACACTAGTATAAAAATAAGATATATATAATATATAATGTATATTATAATTATTTATATATATAATGTAACATATATAGAATATATAATACGCAACAAACAATATATAAAATAATATGTATTGATATATATATATATGTATGTATAACATATATATATATATAACAAACACGTGTATATATATATATACTATATATATATGTAATAAAAAATAAAACGATATAACATACATATATATATATATGTATCATCATCAAAATACGGCAGCAAAACTGCTCCAACCCCCTATCATCAGGGTACCGTTAGGTACAATATCGTCACATCTCATCATACTTCCCACACTAAAATGGTGTTGATTTCCGACATGAATATCAGGTATCAGCAAACTTCAAACGTTGGTGTCCACCCATATAGTCAAAATCCTTTGACCCTGTGGTGGTTGTTTGATGAGTTTTGATGTTCTCTTTTTGGGGGGTCCCTGAAATATGTTTTTCCTGAGTGAGAATAAGCGTGTAGGGTGGCATGCTTCAAGAACCAGCCTCATCTGCTGCGATGGAACGAAGCTTTTCGGTGAAGCCCGGACCGCGGTGTTGAACCAAACCGCAATCCTTGGCGCCGTGGCGAAGGTGACATGTCAGGTGAGGCACCTGTCAAAACCAGGTACTGGTGGCTGCTTTGACGCCTCAAAAAATGTGACTTCAAATCGCCCAAATGATCCCAAATGATCCCAAATGTAAAATCACGAAGCGCATCGAAGCGGGCTCATGAATAATAGGGAACCTCATTGTCCCGATGTTCCCACTTCCCACAGTCCGGGGAAACCCGACCTCCCACCTCGTGCGATGAAAATGCGAGAGTTGACAATGAACTTCGCCATTTCTTTTGCGGAAAAAGGGACGCCAATAACCAAACTATCTTGAAGTCATGAGTCTACATGATATAATACAATGAACATGCATGAATGGCATCTCTGCTCTACATCAAGGACCTCAGACATGTCCAAAAAGAACCATCCAAAACGCTCTATAGTGAGCCAAGGTGCAACGGCCAAGTGTAATAAAGAATGGAAGGGCAACAAGTCATGCTTGGCTCGTCGCAGGAACACGTCATACAAGTCGACCAAGGACTGGCCGATTTGTGGGTGTTTCTGTTTCTTTCCATGCTGTAGCCACACAACTTTGACCAGTAGAAACAAATCTTACCCTCTGGTAATTTAACATAGCTATTGAAAATTGCCATTTATAGTGGATTTACCCATTAAAAATTGTGATTTTCCATAGCTATTTTTACATAACCAGAGGGTAAACTGGAAGAACTGCCATTCCTGTCCAACCAGCGATTTTTTATCCCACAACCGGCCATGGACCATCATGGACCCACAACAGTCTGAGAGTATCCCAACAAAATCCATGACGGCCTGAACGTCCTGAAAACAGATGGCACCCCCCTGTTTAACCTCCAGTAAATTAACATAGACCATCATAGACCCTGCCAGTTGTCGGGGTTGGAAGAGTAGTTTCCATTCAAAATGGCTTATTTTCAGGGTCAACATGTTTATTTACCAGAGGGTCAATCTCTTTTACCCATTGCAATAATTTCGTAAATCCCATGATGGATCAACCAAAGAGGAAATGGCACAAAATGGCTAGCTGGAAAATCCCCGAAGCAAATGAGCATTTTCCATGCCCCTAAAAATTGCCTATAAATTGCAGGTTGGTTTATAACTATAGTTAGAGCCTATAGTTATAAACATAGTTGTAGCTAAAAAATCCCATAACTATGTCCCATAGTTGTCTAATAAAATGACATGACATGTAACTAAATACATAGTTATGTCATGTCATGTCCCCCAAAACAATTCACCACGTGGATCCAAGAACTGTACCCGGCCTGGTAAACGTTTACAGTTCGCGATTGAAAATAGCCATATAAATCGTTGATTTACCCATTGAAAATTGTGATGTTCCATAGTTATGTTAGTTTTACCAACTAGAAATATTTAGAAACCAGGATCATTCTAGAGATTCAATAGGATTTGATAAGCGTTTATCCAGAAATGGTGATTACCATATTACCATATTAGCATTCATCAAGTTGATCCAAGTTGTAAGTTATAAGTCAACATATCTAGGGAACCTCACAGCCGCCAGCCTGGCCCCGTAGCTGTTGCGTGTAGTCGTCCAAGTCCATTGCGTCGGCAATTTCGATTCCTAAGGCTGCGGTGAAACATGTGAGATGGTCATGTTGTGGTCATTATAATTTCCAATGATAATATATATATATATACACTGTCCCTATATATCTATATTGTCTATATACATTCTAGAACCTATCAATGATGTAATGTGATCTGCTATCTACTTGACATCTTGATTAGGTGATAGGAATGGTATCCCTGGCCGGACCCTGAACATGGCATGGTCATGGGGCGCAGCTACAATGCCATGTTCACCATCCCCAATGAATCCCAATAGGTCTGGGTTGTAACAATTCACTGACCTGAAATAAGGCTTTCTATTGGGGATTCCCCATACCATAAAACCTGGGAGAACAGCGAGGTCACTATGATTTACCCAAATAGGTGTTTATGAAGTCAAAGGTTTATGTATATTAGTGTATTATGTACATATATACATACATACATATCCGCTAAGTATTTGGGATGATGCATACCGGTCCAACCATTGTTTGTTTTTTTTCTATTTGGCTCTTCCAGAAGCTATCAGAACTTGCCCGGCCAAGGGGCTTCTCTGGATGTATTCACTATCGGAGCGCTCTTCCAACAAAGGCGCGAGGATATGAACCTGCGCCTGGGAGTCTGGGAGTATTCCAAACCTGCGATGGCTGGATCCTCCAATTTCTTCGGGAAACCATTTTTTTTCGTTTTTTCTACCAGTAATACCGTATGTTGTATGTTTCAACTGTGAGTGTTCCCATCATCTAATTCCTAGATGATGTGTCGAAGACCTATTTTGATGCTGCGGAGAAAGGAATCTCTCTCTCTCTCTCACTCTCGCTCTGCAATTCTATGATTCTGTGCATAAGTAAGTTGCCATATATGATCAGCAAACACCAATGGACCCACTCATAAATCTGGCTGAATTTACATGAATTTACAATAGTTCACTAGCTCGAAAAGAGCTGAAACGAGCGGCCATGAAAGGGGATGATTCCCCGAATCAAACCATAAAATTTAACCGAATCATTCCAGTGACGCCACGGCAGTTTTAGTTCTTAGCTTTGAAGTGCCAAATCTGATCATTGGCATCCCATTTTTTATCACTTTCAATCTGGCTGCGTTTACAACTCAGAAGGCAAACCAAGTCCAATCATTTTCTGGCTAATAACAATCCAACTCGTGTAGGGTTAACCCATGACAAGACCATGTTCGTTGTTCCACATCAGTCCAGGATCAAAGCTGGGAATAAAAACACCAAAAAAAGGGGATGCTTATGGATGTTTTACAGCAATGCTTTTGAGGAAAAAACACCATCATCTTTGGAAAAGCCTTGTGGATACTTTACAAACTTTACAGCTCGAACATATCAACATCTTACCCTCTGGTAAACTAACATAAGTATGGAAAATCACAATTTTTAATGGGTAAATCAACTATAAATGGGCCATTTTCAATAGCTATGTTAAATTACCAGAGGGTATATCCTCCCTTTTCCTATGGTTTTCAATACCCATATCAACATCTTATCAACATCTTTGGCGAAAAATTGGCATCAAATAAACACTTGGCCACATCTTTCTCCGGGCTGCTGGTGCCAAAATGTCTTTCTCCAGCACACTGTGATACGAGGACGTATTAAAACCTGGCAGAGCCGAGGCCAGGTTTAATGGCTGCTAAGAATCATCCCAAATTGGGATAATATATATATATACTTATATATATATACACATACACACACATATAATCATATATATATATATATACATTGCATTACATTACATTGCATTGCATTGCATTGCATTACATTACATGTATATATATATATGTGTGTGTGCGTGGGTGATTATGTATATACATATATTTGACTCGGTATATATATATATATATCATTTTATTTATGTATGCATATATTGGGTCTTCCCCAATAAAGAATGTCGATATCAATGTAACTAGGATATGCGTAATAGCGCATGTCCTTACAGAAATGAGTAACTGATTCCTGCAATCCAAGATCCCAAGCAAAACTCGGTCATAGCAACCTGCTACATGATAGGGGGATTTGAGCAATTCTGTATTGATTCTATCCTCTTTACGCCTTCTCTGTCAGGTGGGATTTTCATAAGACAAGTAGGAAATCCAATTTTGGGCACCCCTCTGTTCTTCACATCATGGACCTCCCTTATAATGAATAAATGTGGCCAATTTTTGGGTGTCCAAGTTCCAATTCGATGCCTGATGAAGTCTACTCGCCACATTTCCAGATTGTTAGTTGGTTGCGTCATTTTCCCGTGAACTATCCTGTGACCTTGCAGTCTTCGGTTCTTATCATGTATACCATATATATAAAATTTATGTACATTCCCCAATTGAAAACTGGTTGAAATCATAAAACATCTCCAAATATTATATATATATATGTGTATATATATGTGTGTGTATATGTTTGTATTCCTCCTCTCAAAGAAAAAAACAAACTTGCCCCCCAAATTTCCCTTGCCGTGCACCAATATCAATACCCCTCCTGCACCCTTCGATTCTTCCAGGCAACTCTCGGCTAGCTCTGGGACGACTTCGCTGACCACCTGAATCACGTGCTGCATCTTGGGGAAGTAGCCCGACCAGCCTGGGGCGCTGACGAAGTTGCCACGAAATTCCATGCAATTTTTGGTTACTCATCCCATTTATGATACAGAAATCATTGGCAAGTGGATTATACCCTCTGGTAAACTAACAGTTTGCTATTGAAAATCACCATGCTTTTGATGGGTAAATCCACTATAAAATGGCCATGTTCAATAGCTTTTTGTATGTTTACCAGGCCGGGTAACTGAAATACTGGGTGGCTCATCCCAGTGGAAAGCATAACAAAAAAAATACCCCAGGTAGTCGGACGAGCCACCATGTACCAGAGGCCAGAGTGTGAGCGGGTGGAAGTGCACTTCTAGTGGGGTTATTAATCATGTTATATTAATTAAAAACTATTTAATACGTAAAGTATGATCTAGATATAACTATATAGATCTTTAACATCTCCGAAAATGCCCAAACATCTCTTATATAACAAACTAATACTAACATATCCTAGCCACTTATCACTTTACCTTCGGCCCTCAGAAACGCTCCAAGAACATCATTAGACATCCACAATGTTCATTCAAAAGCGAGCCACCCATGATTTTTCAAACAAATTTTCCAAACATTCAGCGAATGGTGGGTAGACTTCAGGTGGATTTTTTTTCTGCCACTCATCATCTACAGTATCATATGGTTGGCAAACTCTGATTGTGACTCCGTGGCTCCCCATTTGGGGAATATGGGCCCTGCGCTCCAAATCCCTCCCTCCCAACCAGTGAAAAAATCTGGTACCCTCTGGTAAACGTTTACATAACTATGGAACATCACCATGCTATTAATGGGAAAATCCACTAATTAATTATTTCGATTGGGCCATTTTCAATAGTTTTTTCTTTGTTTACCCCCTGGTAAACTAACATATAACTATGGAAAATCACCATTTTTAATAGGAAAATCCACTATAAATGGGCCATTTTCAATAGCTATGTTAGTTCACCAGAGGGTACATGGTACGAGATTCCACATGGTTCCAAGAAATTTCTCAGCCCTGACTGCCAAGTGGCGCAAGATGGAGAGCAGCTCGCTGAGGGACAGTGTGCCACTCCTCAGCCATCGAAACATGGCTGGGATTCATGAAAGATCCCCAATATATCCTCTGGTGAACTAACATAGCTATGGAAAATGGCCCATTTATAGATGGTTTTCCCATAAAAAAAATTGTGATTTTCCATGGTTATGTTAGTTTACCAGAGTGTATATCCGCATTTTCAATAGGAAAACGATCGAAACAACAACAAAATCGGACAATCATCTGGCCGTGAGTCAAAATTCACTGGTGTCTGGACCTGACATTAACCTACAGCCATAAGTCCGTGATTGAGTTTCCACCGGAGACTTGATACACAAAGGTTGACCACCGTTGACCCAATTTTGGGGGGTCAACCTTCAAGACGGACCGCAGTATCTACCCTCTGGTCAACAAACAAAAGACTATTGAAAACGGCCACTGAAATAGTGGAATTTCCCATTAAAAATGGTGATGTCCCATAGTTATGTAAACGTTTACCAGCGGGTACATAATCTATATCCAAAAAAAAACTTGAGAGTCTGGACTGTAGTAGGCCATAAAGTTACGCTATAATTAGTTTAATAAACTTTTGCTTGGTTTCAATTGAGGGGCAACCATTTCACATCAAATCATATTTTGTGGGTGAGCCCCCTTAATCATGTAATTATTCGATTCATCTCGAGGACTTTTTTGAAGCCCGGGTTGACACCACTACCCTTTCCAAGAATTGTAAATACATACATCTGAATCCATCTAATCTGCTGCAAGAGATCCCTACAATTTCCGTGGAAAAGCGTGACAAAGCCAATGAACACGAGGCCCCAGTGGACCATCATGCCCCCGCATCTATGTGGGGTGATGAAAAGCTGGCTGCGTTTGCATCAAGTGTCCAAAATTCTGCCATCTGCCTGTGTATAGGCTTGATCTCCACATGCAAGGAGGCATCCTTCCCCCTTGTTCTATAATGTCCAAAGTTCAAACATTTATTTCCAATAACATATGATTTTCAAACATGTATTTCCAATACATCGCACCTTTGACATGTTGTTGTGTGTGTGGCCTGAGCCAACCCAGAAAGTAGCTGTTTGCCACCTGTTCTGTCTTAGGTTCATATTTTTCTTGACCAAAGTTAATTTTTGTTCATTGAGTCTGGTTACAATAAATGATACTTGAGCTCCAATTGCAACAACTTCCCAAGCAGCCTTTGAGTAATACTGAGCGATACAAGTAGTGAATATCCCAGAGTTTGCTCGTACAGTATAAAGGAAAACCTATAGGAAGTCTCAAGCAATTTAAGGGGTAATTTCATGAATCAACGCAAATCTTCCCCCTAAATTCCCTAAATCCTCTGGTAATTTAACATAGCTATTGAAAATGACCATTGAAATAGTGAGTTTTCCCATTAATAGCATGGTGGATCTTTCCATAGTTTTCCCATTAAAAACAGTGGATCTTTCCAGTTCGCTATCTTTACATAACCAGAGGCTAAATCCTCTGAATCCATCCAGGTCCAGGTCTCTTGTCCGCATCGGCCGCATGAAATCTCTTGCTGAGCTCGGCGGAACGAATCTCCGCGAAGCCCAGGCGGATCGAGGGGATGATCTCCTGAAGCGACATAAGGCGACGAGATCCATGGAGATCATGGTGAAAAAAAATGAATGGTTCATGGTGGATATGAGTTGTTTATGCTAGAAAAAATGAGGTTAATAGTTAAAAAGCTGGTTTATACCCTGAGGATCCATGTCGTTAAATACACCAAAAATAGAAATGTAGTCAAAATACAGCTACGTCTCCATTAACGCTTGATTTTGGTTACATTTGCCGGAACCTGTCGGAAATCCATCGGATTTTGTCGGAAATCGAGAAAAACCGCAGGCATCCTCTATATTCGTAAGATGCGCATGCGAGTTGATCATGGTCATATGCAGTTCAAAATCGTGACAAATCGTGATGAATTATCTTTTTTGCCACTTAAAATTATGACATTTGTCGGAAACACCGTGACTAAACGTGATAAACCGTGATCTGTTCAGGATTGACCGCTCATTTTCTCAGGGTAGCTGCCACTTTTCGCTTGTGCTCACAGCATTTTACGGTAAAATTATGGTTACCGCAAATGTTGCCAAATTTTGGCTACGGATGTCAAATAATGCCTACGGACGTCAAAAAACAAGGTTTACCGCAAATGTCAGCAAATAGACCCAGCATTGGATCCACAGGGATAGGTGGATATTGAAATAATAATGGCTAATAGTGGCTACTAGTGGATATACAATGGTGATTAATGGTGATTAGTAGTTATATAATTATTATCAACGGAATTACCTTCTGGTAATCCAGCATTGCTGGCTGGAAAGCCCCTGTAAGTTGCGGGACTTAAGGCTGGGGTTTGAAACCATCTGCACATGGTTTTGAAGCATAATACCTACACAAAATCCAAGAAATGGTTGGATATTACAGTACATGTTGCGTAGATTCCTGCCAAAACATGCAGAATTGTTTTTTGTAATCTTTTGAGGGTTGCTAGATGTTACATGATTTTACAACCAGAAACTAGCCTCATTTGGTGACAGAAGTTGGACACCTGGAAAAAATGCAGAAAACATTCTAGCTGTATACCATCCTCGAAACATCTCGAAACACTGTTACCCTCTGGTAAACTAACATAGCTATTGAAAATGGCCATTTATAAATTTATAGTAAGTTTTCCCATGAAAAATGGTGATTTTCCATTGCTATGTTAGTTTACCAGAGGGTAGATCTTATTGGACTCTTTAGTGCTGATGATAATTAAGGGAACATTTGCAGGAAAACACCACATCTGATGGGAAACAAATCTGGTTGCCGGTTACAGTTCTAACAATGAATCCTGGTGAAGTGCGAATCTTGGATTTACCACCGGGGTTGGATCAATAAGTGAAACCACACACCTTTTTCATGGGAATATCTGCAGCTATCTGCCACTAAGAGCCATTTTGATTGGCACTGTAAATCTTTGAATAAACTTCTATCTACTAATCACCATTAGTCACCATTATATATCCACTATTAACCATTATTATTCTCAACCTATTAAGTATCCATCTTCTATTGATGTCGGGTTCGATCAACTGCGAGGCACCTGCAATCTGCTCTCTTTTATTCCTGGCCTTGAAGAGCACATCGAAGCCGATGTCTAGAGAGTCCAAGTTTCGAAGCAAATGGTTCCTGAGATGTTCAGATCCACCATCTGGATCCATCTGGTAATTTGTGACATAGAAATCATGGAAAATCATAATGTTTACCAATTTGTAATAGGCAATAGGCAAATCATCATGTTTATCAAATATATCAAAGTTTATCATCTATAAATGGGCTATGGCTTCCATATGCAAAATCACCAACTTGTATGTTAGTTTAGCCTCGGGTAATATCCAGATTCATCGCATTGCGGATCTGCTTTATATCTACCTGGAATAGTTAGCCCTACTAAGCTTCCAATGACGTCACAGTTAGGTCACGATAATTCATCAAAATATATGATATAACCTCCGGTAAACTAATATAGCTATCGACAATCATCATTTTTACTAGGTAAATCAGCTATAAATAGCCATGTTCAACAGCTATGTTAAATTACCAGAGGGTAACTATATATGATAATATGCAAAGGGGAAAATAGAATAATGCATATAACCGTTATTGTCCTGAGACTATTGATAGCTTATTTACAAGAAATCAGCAAGTTCATAAAAGTTCCGCCATTTAAGGGAATGATTCCGATTCCCCTAATTCTTTCCCATCATTCCTGAGATCAACATTTTTCTCAACACATCTTCTGCAACATTAAGGCCATAGGATCCATAGGGGCCATAGATATTGTATTAATAACTTAACATATCTCACATATCATTCATATATTCACACACGTCATTAATATCCATTGTCATCATCCCCGGTCATCAAACATGCTGCTTGATGAATCTTGGCATCCCAAGCATCATGAGTTCGCGTTCAGCTTTGGACCGTGGTTTGAAGCCGACACCTGCTGGTCCAACGGTTTTGAAGCCGCTCGTTAGGGAAAACAACAACCGGTAGTTTATGGAGAATCACCCATCTTCATATGGGGGTTGTCCAAAATACCTTTTCCCGGACAGCCCTCAATCGCTCAGCCAATCGCGTAGCAACCGCGGTACCACAGTGAGCAATCGCGGAAGGGTTTGTTCTTCGTTGATCAGATCATATACATAAAATATTAATATAAGTTATGTATTATATAATGAGGATCCATGCGTGAACGCATTCGATTTCAAATTTGGGAACAAAATAAGCTCGCGCGGTCCGGAAACGGTCCGGAAAACTCACAGTAGTACCAGCAGCAGTAGTACTAGTAGTACTAGTAGTACTAGTAGTACTAGTAGTACTAGTAGTACTAGTCGTAGTAGTCGTAGTAGTAGTAGTAGTAGTAGTAGGAGGGGTAAGAGTAGGAGTAGGAGTAGGAGTATAGGAGAAGGAGTTCTAGTAGCAGGGCAAGGGAAGAAAGGGAGAGGGAGGGAAAGAGAGAAAGAGAGAGAGAGAGGGAGGGAGGGGGAAACAGATGGTTGCGTTTGACCGGTTTCTGACGGGTTTCTGACTGGTTTCTGACTCGTTTCTGACCCTTCAGCGGAACTCGTGTCAATTGGATTTAAAAGCAAGAGCAGAAATTCCTAGGTGTACTAGTGGTAGTGGTGGTGCAGTAGCAGCGGGTGTGGTGGTAGTACTAAGAGTAGTAGCAAATCTAGTAGTGGGAGTAAGGATCCATGCGTGAACGCATTCGATTTCAAATTTGGAAGCAAAATAAGCTTGCGCGGTCCGGAAACGGTCCGGAAAACTCACAGTAGTACCAGCAGGACTAGCAGTAGCAGTAGCACTAGCAGTAGTGGTAGTGGAAATTGCAATAGGAGTAGGCGTAGGAGTTCTGATGGGAGGGTGAGGGAATAGGCAAGGGAGAGAGAGAGAGAGAGATTGCGTTTGGCCGGTTTCTGACGGGTTTCTGACTGGTTTCTGACTGGTTTCTGACTCGTTTCTGACCCTTCACACGAGTGCAATTGGATTTAAAAGCAAGAGCAGAAATTCCTAGGTGTACTAGTGGTAGTGGTGGTAGTGGTGGTGCAGGGTGGTGCAGTAGCAGCGGGTGTGGTGGTAGTGCTGGGGGTAGTAGCAAATCTAGTAATGAGAGTAAGGATCCATGCGTGAACGCATTCGATTTCAAATTTGGGAGCAAAATAAGCTTGTGCGGTCCGGAAACGGTCCGGAAAACTCACAGTGCACTAGCAGTAGCAGTAGCACTAGCAGTAGTGGTAGTGGAAATTGGAATAGGAGTAGGCGTAGGAGTTCTGGTAGGAGGGTGAGGGAATAGGCAAGGGAGAGAGAGAGAGGTTGCGTTTGGCCGGTTTCTGACTGGTTTCTGACTATTTCTGACCCTTCCGTGGAACTTCTGTCAAGTGGAGAAAAGCAAAGGCAAAAATTCCTCGGTGTAGTAGTGGTAGCGGCGTTGCAGTGGTAGCGGCGCTAGTGGTAATACTGAGAGTAGTAGCAACACTAGTAGAAGGATCCGCCCATGAACGCATTCGTTTTCATATTTGAGAAGAAAAGAAAATTGCGCGGTCCGGAAACGGTCCGGAAAACTCACAGTAATACCAGTAGTAGGAGTAGGAGTAGGAGTAGGAGTAGAAGTAGGAGTAGGAGTAGGAGTAGGAGTAGTAGTAGTAGTAGTAGCAGTAGTAGCAGTAGTAGTAGCAGTAGTAGTAGTAGCGGGAGTAGTAGTAGTAGTAGTAGTAGTAGTAGCAATGATAAGAGCTGAGGTGGATGGATGGATGGATGGATGGGATGCTAGGCAAGTGCTGCCTTTTTGGTGTTTCTGACCTGTTTCTGACCTGTTTCTGACCTGTTTTCAATTGGAGCTAGCTTGAATGTCCTTCTGACCTGAAAACATCTGCGCGGATTCCGCGCGCGCGGAATCCGCGCGGCCATGTCAATTATTGGCATGGTTCTGGTCTCGAAAGTAGTAGTAGTAGTAGTAGTAGTAGTAGTAGTAGTAGTAGTATAGTAGTAGTAGTAGTAATAGGGTGGTAGCCGTATAACCAATCGCCAACCAATCGCTCAGCCTATCGCGATGCAGGTTTTAGCAATCGCGCAAAGCAAAGTAAACGCATCAATTCATAAATTTGTGACCTGCTTTTACGGACGGCTCCCATATGGTTAATATATGGTTAATGATGATGGTTATTATATGGTGAATATATGGTTAATAATGATTATCTGGTTTCTTCTGAAAAGGTGAATCATCATAAAACACTGGTTGGTGGTTGACCTACCCCTCTGAAAAATGATGGACTTCGTCAGTTGGGATGATGACATTCCCAATATCTGGGAAGTCATAAAAGTATATAAAAATCATGTTCCAGTCACCACCAACCAGTTAACATCTATAAATACAGACCATGTTCCAACTAGCTACACGTTAAGTAACCAGTGGCATGCCATGTCTGGCGATCTGGACATGGGTTGACTCTCCATGGTGCCATGGCATCATGGCATCGCCTTCCAAGAAGTGCCGCAGGTCGGACTGATCAATGGCATCTGTATCGGTGTAGCGTCGCAAGATGTCCCGGTAGACTTTCTCCTTGGCTCGGATGCTAGGTGTAGGTGCAGGTCAGGGGGGATTACCAGAGGGTAAAACCACAGTGATACCCTCCGGTAATTCAATATGGCAATCGAAAATTCCCTGTTTACAGATGATTTTCCATGAAATACCTCATTTTCTGCAGGATTTCCAATTTCCATCAATTTCCCACCCTTGATTAGCAGAGTGATAACCTCCATAAGTTGGAATATTTTTCCTATAACATTATGATATACTATTGTCAAGTGTCCACTTAGGACACTCGAACTGCATCCCCAAGCCACCAATAATCTGGATCTTCAATGATCCTTGTGATCCTTGTGATGTGCCTAAAATCATCTAAAATCCTAAAATCTTGAATGGCATTAATGGCATTAGGGGTCCCTGAACTATCATCAAACTCTTAATACTCCTTGGCTCCCCATGGGAGGAATATGGATACCCACAGCTTCAAACACTCCTCCCTTCACTGGGAAAAGTCAGGGCTGATGGTGGTTCATCAGTCCAACAGTAAAGGTCGCCTCCTGCTTCATCAAATCTACCATCTGGGGATGTAACCACAAAGACAAGGTTCGTCACAACACCCCAAATAGTAGGAGGATCGGATGTGAATTCTTGATTCATGCTATGTCATAAATCGACAAAACAAAAGGGTTCGGAATAGATGATTTTTTCCGGTGGTATTTTTCTTAATGTACTGTTCTGTTCATTTTCCTTGCTACTTGCAGCATTTTGAACCTGTAAGCTGCCATTTCAACGATATTTGCAACATTTTTGAGTTTGAACCTCTCTTTTTCCAGAAAATTTGCAACATTTTGGTGCTCGAACTGTTCTTTGCCTTCGGAGGTTGGTCAAACGGTTTGGTGCCAGGATGCATCGACAGAAGAGACTGAGGACAAATATAGCTTGCTGGCACTTGGTATGCCTGGCGTCACAGATTCTTGGATGGAAAACTGTGCAAGAAACATCCCAAGAAGCAGTTCCAAAGGTCGGTTTTCAACATTGAGGTATGCTCAAAGAAACTATTGGTTTCATGATGTCATGATGTTTCATGATGCTTCATGATTAACGAGATTAACGTGGACCCATTTCGAATCATTTTGGGACCGCCATTTCTTTGCCCCAAATGTAGGTGCCTTGATATCCTGAAGGTCCCACCTTAGCTTCTCTAATCTCCGCACCTTCCAAAGTCATAGAGCGTTTCAGTGACTGACTACGATCCTCTTCCTCTACAGCGCCTTTGGGTTTGGTGGCAGCAGTCACCTTGTCCTGTGGCGCTAAGCGCATTGCTTCATGGTCACATTTCCATACATTTCCAGGAAACCCTTTTCTTGATTTAAAAAAAAAGTTCGAATTATCCATGGTTGGCAAAAATAGAGAAAAATCAAATAGATAATTTATCAATGTAAATCCTTCTTCTGTTTCCAAACATCCAAACGTGGTTTCTCCCTTAACCCAAACAGTCACCTTTTGGCAAAATCAGTTGGTGCTGCCACGGCCGTTCCGGCCGTTCCGGCCGTTCCGGAACAAGGTCCTGATATCTCCGCCTCACTTTCCGGAGTTTCTTGTTCAGCTCGCGTTTCCGCCTGCGGTCATTCACCATGGCCTTGTGGTCACGGAACAAGGATGGTGCATCCTTGATCTTCCTCGGCCGGGCCATGCAGCGGCCGAAAAACCACAGGGCCAACACAAATGCCGCAGTAGAGGGGACAGGGACAGGCACATGTTTCAACAAGCCTGGGGATATATACATATATAATAAACTCTGATATTATGTACATATACATTATATATAATATATGTATATTATATGACATCATATATAAATAATTATAAATATATATATATATATATGTGTACACATAGAAGGCAATTCGTGTATGTGTGTGTGTGAGACATGTTTATTTTGAAATGTGATTTGAATGAAACCAATTGACACGGGTAGCAGCTGGGGTGGTTCCAGCGCGTTGGGTTAAGGTAAATGATATGTAGTGATAGCATGTGATAGTGATATATAGTGATAGTATACATGTTTGTTCTTTATGGCGGTTGTTTGGAGCTATCATGAACAGCTTCAAACTCTACATCAGTATCTGAACCGATCAAAGAGCATTTGCTTGGGTTTGGCCTGGTTGAAATCAGCAACTAACATGTTCCTGTATCTGCGTGTCTGTGTTTACAGCTTGTTGATGAAGAGAGCTCACTTTCCCTAGGATTCCACATCTAAGAAACGTGTACCCGGTGTATCCTTGTGATACGTATAGATTCGCTTTCCCTCATGACTCTGGGACTCTTGGTCATTTTAGAACCTAATAATCACAATAACCCGTTGGCTCAGCTTTGCTGCTAAACTTTAAACAACATGACTGGTTGGTGGTTGACCCACCCCTCTGAAAAATGATGGACTTCGTCAGTTGGGATGATGACATTCCCAATCTATGGAAAGTCATCATCCATTCATGTTCCAGCCACCAACCAGTATATAGATCTATTAAGTCCATATTAGGATATATTAAGTCCCATTAACCCATATTCAGTCCCTATTGTTGATGGTTTAAAATGATTTAAATGTTCCAGTCATCACCAACCAGTCATGAACTTTCCGAAAAACACCATGGAATACCTCCCCAGATCCGCAGCGTAGCGGCTGAATCTCCGTCTTCAAACCTCCCAGGTCCAGGCCCTCCTCTTTCTCCGCGCGCTTCAGGAAGGATCCGCCTTTCGAAAAACCTGAAAAAGCCACGAGCGATTAGGACTGACATCTGAGATTCACTGAGTCTGGAATGATACTATATAATTAATAATATATAATGAAAATAATGTGTATATATATAATATGGAAAAACAAGACAAGCTGAAACCATGACTCTTGACTTGAATTCTCATTTGCTGGATATTCCAAGTTTGAATGAAACTCGCGATATCTCGCGATGTTTGTGGTTTGTCTGCTCCCACTATCATTATTGGAATGCCGAGTTGGGTTCCAATGAAACCAACCTGTTACCCCAAGAACAGTGGCTTTCCGAAGCAAGCCCAAGTTGAATCCATAGGCATGTTTCCACGATTACTTGGTTCAAACATCACGACTTTCAAATTGGGCTCAGTGGAGTGGTGCAGGGCGGACAAGCCAACTAAACAAAGGGCGGCCAGCACAAGCAAACTCCTAAGTAGATGCACATTGATGTCATGCTCTTCTGCATATATTTGATGCGTCTTACATCACCTTACCTTTTCCGTCACAGCGGCCATTTGGTAGGCTTCCTCTGCCCTGGGAAGATGTCAATCCAACTTTTGGCATCAAACACACTGTGCTTTCAGGGGTTTTCCTTGAAGATCAATCATCATTTTTACCCTCTGGTAAACGTTTACATAACTATGGAACATCACCATTTTTAATGGGAAAACTCACTATTTCAATGGCCATGTTCAATAGCTACGTTAAATTCCCAGAGAGTAATTTGTGAGGGTGAAGCTATGGACTGTACGGACTTCTACTTCATAATTCTGCAGTCCAGGAACGCTTGTCCTCTCCAGACACCTTCGGTCACGCATGGCGAAAAATGTTTTTTGAATGTGGATTGTCTCTTTCCATTGGAAAATATGAATACGGACAATTCATTACCGGTAATCCAGTAATGAATCATTGGAACATATGAATAATAATAGATCATGACCTAGTGGATTAATCACCAATGGAAATTATGAATATTAATGAGTGGATGAACATTATCCATTGGAAACTATGAATATTAATGAATATCCGTTAATGGATCATCTTTCACCTAGTGGATTTTCGATGACCGGTTGTTGGATTTTCCAGTGATTCACCTTCTTTTTATCCCATCGTCCACATCGTCCCATTGCTCCAAATGCTCCATACATTGGATGTTTGCCAACATAAGTTGTCCCAAGAATGACCCAACCAAATGTAGGTAAATAAAATGCATGCCGCATTTTGAGGCATTCCATAATTCTATTCCGTGTGTTCAAGGATTTCTCATTCGCAATGTTCCCAATCTGCATTTTCTAAGGCAACATTGAAGCCGCAGCGTCTGGCCTCCCTCTTCATGAACTCTTCTTTCTCTTTGGGCGTTGGCACTGGCTCAACCACATGACTCTCCTGACGCTGTGGCCTGGGTCATTCCACAATCTTCCACTAGCAGTACTACCAGTACCCCAAGTTACACACTACAGGCCAGGCCCAATATGAGATTTACCATCTGGTTAACATAGCCATGGAAAATCACCATGCTATTGATAGGTAAACCATCTATTTCTATCGATTTCTATGGGCCATCTATAACATAGCTATGTCAGTCATAACCAGAGGGTACCACCAACAAGGGCCAAGGGCGGTTTTAAACCATTGGGTTTTGGAGCAAAGTATCGCAAAATATCTACATCGCTCTGACCAAAACGGATGCCGCACACCTCTTTTACTAAATAATATTAAATAGGGATAAAAAATTGGAAGCCTTGTAATTGGATCGTTACCTTTTCATACATTGTCAGTCTTGACTAAACTGATCAAAGCTGCGATTAGGATTGAATTTGTTGACCCATCGCACTGCTGCTTTTTTGTCGGGGTGAAATATTTCTGTTACCACGACATCATCGGACGTCACAGAGATCCCCAAAATCTCCGCCGCTCCTCATCTTCTGAGAGCTCGTTCTCGCTGGGATTGTCCATCAGGGGGCAGAAGGTCACGTTCAAGGCCCCGGTGTCACAGGAGATGCCCTTCAAGATCAACGCCCTATCGCAGGTGACATGTTTTCAGTCATGGTGTTTTTGCTCACACACCCTGGAAAAAATCATGAGAATAAACAGCGGATTGAAAACTTGAAGAACGATACGTCATAAAACAACATTAACACAAGGTCAAGAACATCAAAAACAAGAGACAGAAACAAATTACAATGATAATGATAATAATATATAAAGAGATGAGCACCAGCAACAAAACAAACAAGAGCGACTGTTCATGCTTACTGCTTACACATATACAAACGCATGCAATAAAAGGCTTGCGTCAATGTTCAACATGGAAATGTATCATACACATATCGCTACGGTCGCTACAGAAATCCAGGATCTGCTATGTTTTTGTCCATTTGTCAGGACGGTAGCGTCTGAATTTTGGGCCCGTTGTGATTGTGCCATGATTTCTGGACACACTCTATAATAGTCATATCCCCAACTCGATACTCTACGCACATTTGGAATCATGCTTACCGTAGAAACATAAACATGTACCACAAACATAGCTGCACATGTAGTTGTACAATGTTCAACAAACCGAAATATATGTGTACACAGTGTGCGGTACGGTTGTTCATGCCCGATAGCTTGATACGAATTTGTTGCTGGAGCTAGTTGGGAAGATTCCGTTCAATTCCCAAATATGCCCAAATATGTATGTTAAAAACATACTGTTTGTTGATATAAGTACGTAGTTCCTTTCTAAATATGTTTCCCAAATTCCCAAAGATATATATGTATAGTGATATTACTAAATACGTACCAAATATGTTTCCCAAATATGTTAACTAAGCAAAAGAACTGAAACTGGTTGGTGGTTTTAACCACCTTGAAAAATATGAAAGTCAATGGGAAGGATGACATCCCATATATGAAATGGAACATAAAAGCCATGTTTGAAACCACCAACCAGGTAACTATATTATTCAATATTAAGTCCCATTAACCCATATTAAGTCCCTACTGTTTATGGTTTAATGGTTTAAATATCCATATTATTTTGAAACCACCAACCAGATCATATCATATCATATCATATCATCCGTCCAAGGTTGACCCATGAGATCTACGAACGAGGCACATGCCCACCACACTTTTCTTGCTCTCCATCAGCTTGCTTTGCGGCGCATCTGCGACGTCGTGTTTTTGCGGTTTTTCAAATGACGTGTCTGCAGGGAATAGCCCAGAAAATTACCTACCGGTATTTGAAATTCATGCTCCAAACTTCACACTGCCCAACTTGGATCTCTGGGAATTCTCCAATTAACTTCAATCGGGAGTACTTGAATCAAACTATAGTTCCTATTCAGGAAGCGGCCAATCGTGTAATATACATCCCTACAATTCACAAAGAGAATGTGAGGACAGCGACCAAATTGTGATCACTGGGAAAGTGCAGAGAGAATCAGCGAACGAACGACTGTCCTCCCAGCCAGCCCGGCTGGAACTCGAAGATATCAAAGGGGAATCTGTACCATTGGTACCATTGGTCTGAAATCTGTGGGACAATGGATAATACCCTCTGGTAAACGTTTACATAACTATGGAAAAATCATCATGCTATTAATGGGAAAAATCCACTATTTCGATTGGGCCATTTTCAATAGCTATGTTAGTTTACCAGAGGGTACTATAAGTCTCTTGATTTTCTTGGATCAAAGTAGTCGTTTTCTATGGATTTGACAACTGCATCCAGCAGCCATTACTCTTGATCCATGTGGGAAGCCGGTTACCCGGTTGTGAAATTTACACAAAGATCAGAACCCAACGGCATTTGGCAACTTTCTGGAAACATTACAGCTCTTTCAAAACGCCGGTGAAACACCGCCCTGATGTAATTGTCGTGCCAATAAAAAAAAATGCAACAAAATCGGATAAATTGATGGATATTATATAGTTATCAACCATTTTGACCATTTGTTGATGGATATTGATGGATATTATATTGTTCATCCCCTAAATGGTGCTTCTTTGTGTTTTCCCAGATCTTTCTAGTTTTTTCCTCCGATGTCTGGAGTCCGTTCAAACGGTTCCACCATGTTCCACCCGCACCTTCCACCTGCTTCGGTTGATGCACGATGATCGAAGCCCGGCAGCGCGTCCGGAAGAGGGTCTCCCTCTCGATCCTGACGTCGGGTCCGTTGGATCTTCATGGGATCTTCATGAGTCATTGGATTGTTTTTTCAGGGAAAAATCTACAGGAAATCACTATAAGTGGTGGTATATACCATGGATTCCGGTTAAGATTTTCCCTGAAAAAGGACCGTTTTCCAGGGAAAATCTTCACCGGAAACACAAAAACAGTGCTGGTAAAGACCCCTTTTTGAATGGAAGATTTTCCCACCAATCCATTGAGATTGATCCCGACAAATGATATGAACTGCATAAAAAATATATGGGAAATAGTGAAGAAATCATGGGGACATCATGGGATTAAAAAAATCCCCCAGTTTTTGGTCAAAAAACACAACTCACTTCACCAAAACGGGATGATTTTTTTCAAGGGAAATTCCATGGTGGTTTTCTAATGTTCTAACCATGGGAAGTATGAAGGGGTATGATATGGGAAAAATCCAAGGGAATGATGATAACCCTCTGGTAATCAAACATCGATAGTTTTCGGTTTTTCCCAGCAAACCAGTTGTTGTTTACCAGAGTACCCTCTGGTGAGCTAACATAGCAATGGAAAATCACAATTTTTAATGGGAAAAACCACTATAAATGGCCATTTTCCATTGCTATGTTAGTTCACCAGAGGGTAGGGTTTAACAAAACCATCCTAATATCTAATCCTTTTAGAAAAAACATCTGGCTGGTGGCTTCGAATGTTTCCAACAATCATCGTACCATTTCTATGTTTGAAAATAAGACATGTCTGAAAGTGCTACCATCTGGTTATGACTAACATAGCCATGGTATAGATGGCCCATCCTATTAATAGCATGGTGATTTTCCATGGCAAACTGTTAGTCATAACCAGAGGGTAGAAATGCCATCTTTCTGGGCCGGTGCCCAATTCTTAGACACACCCATGGCATTAGATGCCCAGGCTCTGTTGGTGCCGCCATTGCACCTTGGACTCAAGAGTTGAAAAATCCCAAAATCCCTGAAAATTGATATTTTTACCCCAAGAAATAGCAAGAAATCAGGGTTTAGTATGGTTTAGTAATGTTTAGTAGGGGATTTCAAGGGATTTCGCACTTTTTTTGGGAGATCATTCAGGGGATGTTTGATACTAAAGGGATTGGATTACATTCTGGTATTTTTTTAAAAGAAAGGTCCTCAAAAATGGATCACCATGGTAGATTTTTTCACCAACCCCAAAAACAGGCCTGAAAAAACCAATTCCATCCCATGGTTTATCATCATGTTCCCATATGTTCCCATTGGCCCATTGCCATTTTATGGGTGCACACCATTTTCAAGCAAACCCACATGTCAAATTGTTGATCATCATATCCCAGTAAATCCCATTAAATCCCCATGTATCCCATTATATTCCCTTTTTCTGGTCAAATTCCATTGATACCCATATATTTCCATTAAGCATCATTCCAAAATAATTTCACACAGAATCCCATTAAATCAAACCCATTAACTATTTCATGGAGTTTCAAAAGGACTATCATTAAACCCTTTAGTTTCAAAACAACTTTGCTTTGCAGAACGATAAAGACAACATTGGTTTGCAGTTTAAGATATGTGCCTTACGTAATTAACTCATAAATCAATCTTTATTACCCTCTGGCAATTTAACGTAGCTATGGATTATCACCATTTTTCAGAGGCATATAAATCATAATAATTCATCAATGGACCATGTTCCATTGAATAACCAAATCTTATTTGTTCAATCTATCCAGCCGCACCAGCCCTTTTTTCAATCAATCAAGTCAAAACAAACCAAACCAAATCAAATAAAATCAACCAATCAATCAAATCAAATCAAATCAAATAAAATCGAATCATATCCATCAATCAATCAGTCAATCAAGCAATCAATCAATCAATCAATCAATCAATCAATCAATCACCAATCAATCAAATCAAATCAAATCAAATCAATCAAACCAAATCAATCAAACCAAATCAATCAATCAATCAATCAATCAATCAATCAAACGATCAAACGATCAAACGATCAAACGATCAAACGATCAAATCAAATCAAATCAATCAATCAAACGATCAAACGATCAACAACGACGACAACAACAAATAATTCTCAGTACTTTGGCTCCGGCACGGCCTTTCTACGGCTGGTCTGCGTGGCGTGCAATCGACTATCCAGGCGATGCTTCGCGAACTCCGCCAGCTCTTCGTTCCGCCCTGAACGAAACCACAATGTGAAGGTGGGGGGAGAATAGAAACTGGGGAAACAATGGGAAACATGGAAGAATTGTGTTTAAACACCAAAAACACAATGTTTTATATAAAAATATGAGGTTTAGAGGAGGAACACAGTTAATTTATTTTTGAAAACGTTACAAAAACATCCATCTCGGTCAACCGCGGATCACATTTTCAAGTCCGTTTTGTGTGGCAGGTGTGGAACGGGCAATTATCACCACAATCTTTTAAACCTATAAGATTTTAAAGCTTTTGGAGGGTGGAAATGCGACCGGGGTACGGCAAAGCTCCATGCTAAGATTCTAAGGAGACAGGGTGTGCACAAGAAGAACTCAAACATGTTCACTGTCGGAAGCTCAACAAGCGCAACTTTTGTACTACCAGTGTAAATCGTCCAAAGTCGAGAAAACAATCAGGGTTAAGCAACTAAACGATGGATCCTGAATCAGCGTAGTTGGGACAAATAAAGGATGTAGGATGGTTCAAACAAGAAACATATATTCGTGTTTATCAAAACCTATTCAGAACTCAACATGTTTTCACAGTCCTGACTGAAATGCAGGGATTAGATCTTAGAGGTGGGTTATCAAGGTGCGTCAGTGTAGCAGTTTGACATTGTCAAAAACCCATCTGTGAATGGCGTGGCCGTGAGATTTCCCAGCAAATTCAAGGGAGCGAATTTCAGCGAATGGTGTTCCAAGCGAAGGGAAGTGGAATGGCGGATCACTTCGAAGATGATTTTCCATTGAAAAGACCAACTACATTAACTATAATTATTTATGTTTTTCACATTTAGGCATTGTTATTTCGATCAAGATATTCTCCAGAAAAAAAACAAACGCACGGCAGAACATATAACTTTATTATACTTGATTGTAATGATGTAGATCCATTTTTGATCATTTTCTTATACTCAGAGAAAATGGGATGATTTTCCTAGTGAACACTAGGATGACATACCTGAACTCATTTTGTGACTACCTCTGATCTCATCAAACCTGGATGGCTCAGTGTGGTGGTTTAGAATCCTGGTGCACCAATAAAGGTCACCCCTGGCCCCCCAAATAGTATGAATTCCTTTGATCCACCTATGATATTCCCATTTTATTCCAATGAGTGCTGATTAATTAAATCCCAAATCCCATTACAATAATATACCGTATATACCAGTTATATTCCCATTCTATTCCAATCCACTAAATCGCCAAGAAATCCATTAAATCCCATTGAATCACCATTGAAACCGTTATTAAATCTCTACTAAATCACCATTACCCTCTGGTAAACTAACATAACTATGGAAAATCATCATTTACAATAGGTAAAACAACTATAAATGATCATTTTCAATAGCTATGTTAAATTACCAGAGGGTAAACCCATTGAACCCCGAAAAAAAAAAAAACGATTTTGGCCACATCCGCCATCCGCGCCACAGCCATCCACCTTGGATCTCCTTGTCGATGTCATCCCCACGGACCACCACGCGATCCGCACCCAAGACCTCCGTGATAAATGCAGCCTCCAGCGGATTGTGGATCGGTGTGGAGGATCGGCGTGGCCGGTGATTTCATGGTGATTTAACCTCTGGTAAACTACCCTCTGGTAAACTAACATAACTATAGAAAATCACCATTTTCAATGGGAAAATCCACTATAAATGGTCATTTTCAATAGCTATGTTAAATTACCAGAGGGTAACATCATTGCGAACTTGAACATGGCCCAGTCGAAATAGTTGATTTTCCCATTAAAAGGTGGGGATTTTCCATAGTTATGTTGGTTTACCAAAGGGTAACCTTGCGCGGAATAGACTGGGAATAAATGCTGATGAATGGAGATGGTGCTGAATAGCGATTCATCTGTGTCACATTTATCGATACATGAAGGTGCAATAAGAATGTGGACTAGATAATGTACATTGATGTGATTGAAATCAGGCGGCACTATCCACCCGAGCGCCTTTGCTGGGCATCTTTCAAAGTTTCTCTTTGCCAATCCCTTTTTGGTCAATCCCCCTTCTTGTTGGGAATGTTCTACTTATATCTGTACGTATAATTATCCTCATTCAATCTAGAACAACAGTAAATTCCTGCGGCTTTGCCTGGTTCAAAATCCTCTGATAGATCCTCTGAAGTCCGCATGTTCAAAGAGGTAAACTGCACATGGTTTTGTTTGTATCCGCACACACGCGTGCACGCACAGACAGCTCCATATATCCCTCATGCACTTGCGCAGTAGATGTGGCGTGAACTAAACCAGCACTGCCTGACACGGCACCTTAGCATCCCAGGGGAACCCCAACTTTGCTGCATTTTGGGAAGATGCATTAGGACATATTGGGATCCTGAAAGTACACTAAGTACAGTTGACCCAATCATTTCCAACATGTTTGTGTATGCCATTGAGTTCATTTTCCCCTGCATTTTCCATGGTACCGGTCCAAGGTAAATCTCCCATTGTGCCCAAGACAAGTTCACTGCACCTCAGCTGCTGTGCTGTTGGCGCGTGCGCGAGGCTTCTTGCTCGGGACCATGGCAGCCTGCTGGACCCGTCGAACTACGAACGAGTCTCTCCTCGAATCTTTGGGAGACATGTGGTAGGTATACCCCATTATAAATTATATATATATCCCATTAGTATGAGATTGTTGAATTTATATGATATCATTCCAAACAAAAAAACACGTTGATGTGGTAAACCAACAAAATGAATCCAATTGGACATGATTTATTATCAGGTTTGCCACTTTTCCTATGTGTGGTTGGTACCGCTATGACATCTGCCACATCTGCGAAGATTTGAAAACGCTTAACAATGCAATGATGCCGATGATGCCACGTCCCCCATGAAACATGCAATTCCAAGCCCCAAATCTTGAAAAACGATGAAACATGCAAGTCATTTACCAAAACACATGTCACATGGCTATAGAAGCCTTCAACCGGCTTGTTTTGGAAAACTATCCCATCCAAAATAGGGGTTCCCAAGCCATCCATGTGAGATTCCCGCAGGGTAGAGGAAAAATCACACCATCTCCCCATGTTGCACTTGTTGTTGGCACATGTAGGCACCGTCTTGTGTCATCCCAGAATAGGAGTTGAAGGTTCGAAGGTAGGGGCCAGTGGTGACCGGCAATGTGAAAAAAGTTGGTTTATAGGCCCATTTTAATATAGTTACAAGTATCATCGAAGGAAGTTTACTAGGCAAATTTCCGACTGATGCAGCAACAGAGGTGAGAGCAGTTAGAGAAGAGAAAGAGTCAGAAGAGAAAGAGTCAGTAGAAAGAAGATCAAGGTGCGCCCAAAGGTAGAAAAGTCGCGAAACACGAGGAAGTTGCTATTAGTCAGCAGGTGGAGACACAATCCAAGTATGTGGTAAAGCCAATGACAAGTAACTCCAAGTTATCTAAATTTATCATATCGAATCTACAGTTTCCATTATTGGGGTGTAAAAAAAATACCCCAATGGAATCGAACGGGCTCATAGCCCCACAAATCAAGAAGTTTAGCGCATGTTTCCCACATTGTTCACACATGTCATTCATTATACCATACATATTATGCACAGTAAGATGGTAACGCACTGGTATTCCCCAAAACAACTTGTATAAATAATAACCCCAACATTCACAGCCAATTATGTGGTTGTGCTCAAAAATATACACTGAGCATGTTGGGCCCTCCTCCCCTGTTTTCAGACATGCCTAAATATTATAATATATACATGTATAAATACATATTATATATATACACACTAAATTCCCATTGAATATCCATTATACAAGCCCCATATCATAAAGCCACCATCACTCAGACATATTTCAAGGATGCAATTTTTACCTCTCTTTCAAAGAAGAGACAGTAGTCCAAGATCAGAACATTGACGATGATTAACCTGAGTCCATGTTTAACCCAAAACCTGAGGTTTGAATATTAAGAGTATACTGTAAATTATATTCCCAAAATATCCCAAAATCCCAAAACTATAAATCCGGATTCACATGGTCAACCATTCTATCCCCATTAAATATTATATATAATGTCAACCCCTTAATAAACCATGGTTTATTAAATTATGGGGGTACTCCTCCAATAGTCATAAACTAATACTTAAATGGTACCCTCCCAAGTAAAGCCTAGGGGCTTACCCTCTGGTTATTTAACATAGCCATGGTATAGATGGCCATTTATAGATGGTTTACCTATTAATAGCATGGTGATTTTCCATGGCAAACTGTTAAATAACCGGAGGGTATTAATCCAGGGTTGACATTACGCGTTGAAACTTCTCCAAATTGTCATAACATCCGCCTGGGGCCTCGGGCCAGGCCCGCCTCCGCCTTGAGCTCTCGATGCTTGGCCAAGCGTGGCCGCGCAGTGCGGGCGTGCCAGCGGCTCACCTTCCTGACCATGGGAAGATGATAAACCTATTACCGTACCCTTCAGTAAGTTAGCCTCATGATTCCATGGAAAATGAATGAACATGGCCCATTTATAGATGATAAACATTGATAAACATGATATTACCCTTCAGTAAATTGTTACATAGACCCTGACAAACGGGGGCTGGAAAATGTTGGAAGACTAGCGAAACCACTAAAAATTGGTGATTTTCAGGGTCTAAGTTAATTTACCGGATGGTATGTAGCAATGGCAATACCACGGGGATCATATCATCAGAATATAGTGGGAATATCATGAGAATATCATGTGGATATAATGGGATAAGAGTATCGCAAGCCCAAACAAATGCCGAAAAGTGTTTCCAGGATGGTAGGTCGATGATATTTACTTCGTATGTTCAAGTTTCGCACTAAACAAAAACAAATGATGCAGATACGGAAAATTGGGGAAATGATGGGAACATATGGGAAACATCTTTGGGAAATTACAAATTTATCCTTGGAAAGCGATACAAATATGGAACACATACAGAAAATTGGAAACGTATGATATAGAATACTAACATACATATGGAAAATAGAATGTTTCCAGGATATCCTCCAATGAATTTTCCCATAGATGTGGAAAACCCACCATTTGTGGAACCATTTGCTTTCCACATGAGGACATCCATTTAAAATGGTTGGGGATAACGCATGGATTTAACATGAGTTCAAGAACGACCAATAAAGGGTAACAGACCAAGATTTGAGCAGCAACTCAAAAAAAAGTACTTACAGATACTTACAGCATAAAACAATATGAAACCCAATCCACATCTGTAGCAGTCTCTAATATGTTTTAACCAGCAGAAATGCGTTAAAAAAAATGTGGTCACCAACAAAGCAACTGCCATCAGAGCTCATTTGTTGCGCCGAGGCACTTGGGCGGAGGAACCGGAATGACTGGCAGAGCAGGCCTTGATGCTGACGGCGCAGTTCAAAGCAGTTCAAAGGGTTTCCCCGGGAGTCGGAACCCTCTGGGAAACTAACAGTTTGCTATTAAATCATAGTTGATTTACCCATTAAAAATTGTGATTTTCCGTAGTTATGGTAGTTTACCAGAGAGTAATCCAACATTGTTTTTTTTTGTTTGCCTGAAACAAAGGGACTCTCACCAGAACAGCATGTTCACTCTTGGGGTGGCACAGGCCAAAAATGTCATTGATACGAGCTTTGAGGATTCAAAAGAAAAAACTATTTGGGATCATCATTATCATCATTCCAGAGCCTTGCTAGCGGTGAAATGGCTTAAGAAGCCTCAAAGATTCGGTTCCAACATGTTCGGAGCACTACTACGGTTTCTCCAGTCAGTTCCGCATCATGTTCCCCAGCTTTGCTGAAACGATTGCTCATCTGGAAAGTAATCATCAGGAAAATGATATCAAAATATTGAAAGAATAATGGCCGAGAAATTATTGTATCCCCCATGAATTTACAGATCGAGCCCCTGCCAAGTCCAGAAAAACATCGTCCAGAACCGTTTTCATTATCTTGTGAGGGGTTCCAGCAAGAAGAACAAGTCCATACTCCTCGCTGGCTCAAAAATCAAACCAGTAAGCTGAAAAACAGGTTTGAACATGTTGGCGTCAAACTCTACGTTTTTTTTTTTCTACGTTTTTTCCCCGTTTGCCAACCTCCATTTAACACCCAAACAACATCATATGCTGGTCACATGAGTATGAACGAAAACATTGGCTATACGCAGCGATTTTGACTTAGGTTTCAGGATATAGGGTTTTAGAGTTTAGGGTTTCAGGGCTTTAGAGTTTTGGAAAAATTGAAAAAAACCAAACGCTAGCCCTACTCAGGAATTTGAATATGACAAAGGATATGCGGGATCGGTGGCTGGCAAACCGAGGCTTTGCAGCGAACATGTTAAGAACATGTTTAAACCAAACTTTTTGCCAACATTAACCATTAACTATCACTATCTGGTTGATGAGCCATAACCATGTTCATGATCATGTCTTGATTACCAGCCATTAATGGTTACTAACCATTAGTGATGGTTAACCATCATTAACTCAACCATTCACCATGGCACTCCGGCTTCTCGATGCGAGGCATGCGCGGAGGGGCACCAGCACGGAACTTCCAATCCTTGGCTCGGGTTGGAAATGTCCACCATAAATATCCATGAATCCCTATTTTATGGATATCTTACCCCTTAAAATTACGGATTGCATAAATTCATAGAATTGGATGATGGGAAAATTTTAACCGGAAACTAACCCATATATTTCATGGTAAAAACCATGGCTTCCGATGTTTCCGGTTAAGATTTTCCCTTAAACCAATCCACTGCCCATAGGATCCATGTATGGTATATGCTAACATTTGGGGTATATTGATGGTAAATATGTTACCATATATAGCAGCACCATGGATCCTATGGGTTCTATGAAACCCTGGTGAGATTGATCTGGATAGCCTATTGGTCCAACACCTGGCCAGGCTCTGAAGTCGCGCCAAACGCTTCAGCAGCGATCAGCTTTACTGGGGCCAACAGTCCTCGGCCGGCTTCCAGATGTGGAAGTTGGGGGTGTACCTCTTGGGGTTGAAATATGAGAAAAACTATAAGAAACCATAGGAAAATGGTGATTTTACCAGCCAAAAATCGAGATTGGCGTAGGATTACTAATGTGGGTAAAACAATGTCATAAACCACCCATGACTGGGAATGGTAACCATACCACCTATAAACATGGTGATTTTGGGGATGGTTTATGGCTTTGTTTTAACCACATTCTATGAGAATGAAACAAAGACTGATATATCGTGGTATAGCGAGGTCGCAATCCTGCATAGCTTCGTTGGCATGCGTCATGATGGCCGCATGCCCCCTGAAATTCAATCACAGACCTTGGAAAAATTGTGGATGTTCAATGTTCATACCTGTGTCTGGGAGAACTTACACTACATATCCTTTTTGGAAGACATAGCGGAGGCAATTTTGTGAAGCAAAATACCATTGATCATCAACTTCTCGACTTCGACAGTTGCAACGCCCCGCCACCAGTGTGACAAATCAAGGGGTCCTCCTTTTCATCAACCAGCCACTAAAAACAACAAACGAATTGCAGAAACACAGAATTCACATCATATATAAAGAAAATTGTAACCACAATAATTTAAATAAAATACCATTGTAATCAGTAATCACCATATTTTTTTCCATAACTTACCATCTTCACAAACCGACATAATGAACCCCAAACATCACCATTTCCAACCCCAAACCGACAGGCAACGGTCGTAGTGGCGATCCATCTTCCCTGACGGATTGGGACTGTTGGACTCAAAAAAAACATGGAAAATCACCCAAGCGCGATGAAACATGTGCATATTATGTGTAGGAATATGCTATGTATATGCTCATTACGACTTATCCGGTGTGTATATGTATATGATTGTATATGATTGTATATGTATATTATGTTTTCATATGTATACTCATACATTCTATACTACATATCTCCATAAATAATATGAATCATATGACCTCTCGTAGACACGGTTAGATAACCTCTCCGCGTCAGCTTCGCTGGTGCGCCTGGGGAACCCCAGAGTGAGGCGGCCACTTTGCTGTTGATGTCCGGCAGGCTGGGAACTTGTGTGGGCGCATCGCTTTCCCCATCGCCTAACAAAGTGGTGTTTGAGATCAAATCAAAGCTTCAAAACACATATGGAAAATTTTTCCTCTTGTAATCTAACATAGCAATGGAAAATCCTGGAGGTGTTCACGTGAAAATTACCCTCTGGTTATTTAACATAGCCATGGAAAATGGCCCATTGAAATAGTGGATGTTCCCATTAAAAATGGTGATTTTCCATGGCAAACTGTTAGTCATAACCAGATGGTATCTAGAAATGGAGGGATTTCCCATGTCAATGGATTGGTTTAGTCGGGAAAATCTTCACCGGAAAGCCCCATATAAAAAATGGGAAAATCACTCTGGTTTCCGGTTTCAATTTTCCCTTAAACCAAATAACTCTGGTTTCCGGTTTCAATTTTCCCGTGAAAACCAATCCAATCACCATGTGAAATGGCCAGCAACGTATGATATTTCTTCAGCGATCCTACCATCCCAAGACATCCCTTTTAAAACCAGGCCATGCTCCGGATAGAACCGCGAGAAATCCCAAGATGTCACCGCGAGAAATCTCAGTAAGTTCCCATAGGTTTAATTCATGATATTAAAGCACACACACATATTTTTTTTTTATAAAATACATATGTAAAGTTAATAAAATCTATAATTAATATATATATATATATATACACAGTATGTTGTATTAATGATGTGGTCCATTCATAAATGTCAATTCTAATTCTATGATTCTATGGGTACCTCCAATTTCCAAACCCAGGAGATCGGAGTGTTTTCTTGCCTGTTTCCATTGCCAGCGTGGTCCAGGTACGGCATTCAAGAAGACAGGGTGTGCCCGCAGAAACTTTTGCGAAAAGGCTAAAAGTGGGGACTGGTTGCAAGCTTTGGGACAGCTTCCGCTTAGGTTTCAGGGATCAACTGGCATCATGATATATCAAGATCATTCACTGTTTCTGGTTGTTGATGTCCTTGGGCATTCTTAGATTGATCTTTTCCACTACATAACTCCTAAATTTGAGCCTGATCGTCGACACATGCCTTCAAAATAATTGCCTTCCAAAGCGTGGATAGTTCAAGATAAAGTTCAATGCTACGGGAAGGGCCCGCCTAGTTGAAAGTTGGTTGATAACCCCATCTAAATATAGTTAGAAGTATCATACACCACCATAGTTATAAACCAAGTTAGCTAACCATGGCGCCCCTTCCTGTAAGCTAAACATCACGGAACTTCGCCCGCGGCCAAGATGTTGGGCTCCAGAACCAGCGCTGCTGCTGTCCTCTCTTTCATGGCGACCTCAAAATGTTTCCGCATCGCTTCCATGTCGCCGTCTTCCGCCACAGCATTCATCTGACCTGGAGATGTTGCAGAAGATTTTGGGAGGAATCAGGAACCATTCAATGGTCATTTCAGGAACCTAAAATTAAAATGGAGGTACGTTAGTACCATACTATAAGGCCATATTTTGTGGGCATATTCCCTGAAATTTAGGCCTGAAAAATAAACCTTATATATGGTAGGTACCTCCAATTTAGGTTCCAATGTCAGGAACCTCAGTGCAACCCTTTCACCCGGAGCGAGGGATTTTGAGATGTTCCTGTGGAATTCATTGAAGTGAGGCACGTCCTTGGTCAAATCTCAACTGTTCAGCTCCATTGGAACTCATGCTGACAAATGTCAGAAAGTAAACATATGTCATTGTTACAACTAACAGCGATCACTGAGGAGCGATGGTTACCTTCATATCATACCTAGCTAGGTATCCTACAAAAAGAGGGACCCACCGGCTCCTCCAGCCCGCGACCCGTTTTTCAATGATCCCCATGCAGATTTCGGATGGTTTCTTCTGGGTTCTTCGGGAGAGATCACCATATCTATCGATATATATATAAATATATATGTGTGTGTGTGTATATCTATATGTATATATGATATCTAAATATAATAGCTATATATATATATATGTCTATCTACCTAGCTATCTAGCTATCTCTCTTTCTCTCTCTCTCTATCTATCTGCCTACCTACCTAGCTATCTGGCTATCTCTGTGTCTCTCTCTCTCTCTCTATCTATCTATCTATCTATCTATCTACCTATAGATCTATCGATCTATCCATCTACCGATCTATCGATCTATCCATCTATCGATCTCTCTATCTATCGATCTCTCTATCTCTCTATCTCTCTATCTCTCTATCTCTCTATCTCTCGATCTCTCGATCTCTCGATCTCTCGATCTCTCGATCTCTCGATCTATCTATCTATCTATCTATTTATTTATTTATCTCTATCTATCTCTATCTATCTTAATTATCTATCTCTATCTATCTCTAGCTATCTATCTATCTATCTATCTATCCATCTATCTATCTATCTATATCTGTTTATTTCTGTCTGTATCTTTATCTTTATCTATCTATCTCTATTTATCTATCTATCTATCTATCCATCTATCTATCTATCTATCTATATCTGTTTATTTCTGTCTGTATCTTTATCTTTATCTATCTATATATATATATTTATTTATTTATTTATTTAGCTATCTATCAATCAATCAATCTATCTATCTATCTCTCTCTATCTGTCTCTATCTATCTCTATCTATTTATCTATCTCTCTATCTAGCTATTTAGCTATCTAGCTATTTATCTACCTATCCATCCATCCATCCATACATACATACATCCATTCATCTCTCTCTCTCTCTTTATATCTCTATATATATATATATCCATATATCCATCTATCCATCTATCATTCTATCCATCCATCGAATCTATCCATCTTTCCATCCATCCATCTATCACCATACTCCCAGTCAGGAGTCACTGCCGCCCAGGAGCACAGCAAATCGGCCTCATCGGCAGCTTGGTTCACATGTCACAGAGCTAAGATCAAGAACTGGAAAGTGACATCGGCTGTACAAAAACTCGCTCTTGGATGGGTAGTGCCACTGCTACCCGAATCTACTTGAGCCCAGTTTACCTTGAACACAAAATTCACCCAGTAGCTCATATAACTTCTGCAGCTAAGACTGCAGATGGCCCCTCCATTGCCCCATCGGGTCCAAGTCGCAAAGCCATACTTGCTCATTGCAGGCCGGGCCACGGTCCTGGTAAAGAAAGAGTTTGCGAACTGGAAAGCCTCCATATTTTTAATAGGTATACAGTATACCCAAAAACAACTAAAACATGCCAGTTTCCGTAGCTTTGTGCTACCAAAGGCTAACCCCTAATATAGTCGTTCCAAGAGGTGGATTTCACACGCCAAAGCATAAAACAGCAAGATTTCTTGGTTTGAGCCACTGGCATTTGCCCAACAAGTTCTTATTCTCTTCTTTTTGCATTGCTTTCAATATAATTTCAAAGAAATGCCAGCCACACCTACTGAGATTGGAAAGCAACAAAAAAACCTGAAACTTAAACCATCTATGGTTTCCATGCCCACTTACACCGCGCTTGGGCATATGCCAGTTCCCAATGCTTGAGAGCAGCTGAAAATCCCCATTCCTTACTGCACACAATGGGCAGCCGAGCACATCCACCTCCCCGTTTTGCATAGGATGACTTTCCATGCCATGCCGAAATCCCAATTTCAATCCAATCAAATGGTAAATGTTGATTTCTGGCTGGTGGTTTTGACCATCTTGAAAAATATTAGTCAATGGGAAGGATTATCCCATATATCATGGAAAACAAAAAATGTTCCAAACCACCAGCCAGATTTGTATATGCATAATCCACCTATTTTTGTTGCCCGGACTCCCCAACAATGGAACCCCAACAATCATCCCATCCACATCCCAGTGATCCCAACGATGGAGCCTCCGCACTGTGGGACACGCTGCAAGCGCCAAAAAAGAGGCCTTCCACCGCGTTGTTTCCGCGTGTCCCACATGTTGTTCTGCACGGGTCCTTTGGAGGAAACTGCTTGAGATGGAGATGTTATTTTCCTCCATGAAAGCTCAAAGGTGTAGGGATCTCAAAAAGTGAAACGTTTGTGCCGATCAGCCACAAGCTGATCGGGACTGACTGAATAACTCAAAGGTGACCTGCGCGCAGGGAATGCAAAGAGAGTGGCGCGTTTTTTTGGTAACACCATGGCCGTCACCCATCGAGTCGTGGAACAGTTGAAAGAACAACTGATTTTTTTTGGTCCGCAACATATGTATGTATATATATATATATGTATATGTGTGTAAATCAGTTTTATATACTTATATATCAGGTTCCTAAGTTTCCTGGAAATGTTCCACTTGAACCCATTCTACCAACCATTCTGAACTCTCCAAGAATCACCCTGCTCCTCCGCAGCAAAGGAAGGCATGTTGGGGCCACCGGCGCAGGGAGCCTGTGCAAATCTGCGCCAAGGGCGTGCCGAATGACGATGACCCATGGAACTTGTGATTTTATATCAAAACTGGGTAACTTTCAAAATGTCTCAAGTAAACAAGAACAAATGGATTTATACTCAGCAATGATATGGGTAATGAACCAAGTCAATGGACTGAAAAAAGAGGAAACTTGAACTTTATATATATATATAATATATATATATTATATAGGATATTCCATATGGTACTTATTTCTGCCGCTGCTCAAAAACACTAGAATTGTCACCGTTCTTGCGGAGAAACGCCGTTCCTGAAAATAAATGCCGTTGTGAGAAATTGTCAGCCCACGTGGTCGGGTATTTTCGCCGTTTGGTCGGGCATTTTTGCCGCTGAAAAACGGGCTTGGCAGCAATATATCAGAAGAAACTCTGGTTTGCCCAAAAAGTATTGGGCAAGAGGTAGAAATTAAGCCCACTTTACAAAAGGTTTAATATGTGTGTATATAACGGGAATGTAAAGTTTAAGTTTCCTGTGAGAGTATGCCCTGCAACCATGCAATCGGCGTGTAAATCCTCAGCAATGGAAACTTCATGAAACTTTTGGGGCTATGAAATTTACATCATTGTGAGTGGCCAAAAAACACATTTAGCCACGGAATCTTACATTTTGGATGAAAATTAGCTTAAGTACCCAAAATGGCATACCCTCAACTACAGAGGGACCTTGGGAATTCCATTGTAGACCCTAAAATCCTGGTCATGCCGTCATGCTGTATTCATTCATGGTCTCGGCTCTTCCAAATCTCTTCCATGTCAGAAAATGGATTCTGGAACAAAGTAAAAAAATGAATCAAATCGAAAAACCTATTTTTGCTCGACTGATTCCTATTTAAAAAAAACTCAAGTTCAAGGTATCTAGAATGATCCCCCGTTGGGGTTGACAGGGACGCTTTCCGAATTCTGACCTTTGAAAGTTTGGTTATGTGAGCCTTTTTGTGGCCTCCAAGATTCAACAAAAAAGGTCCTTGGTTTGGAATACAACCAAATGTCAAAATGAGGAACTTGCAAAAATATGCATTAATATGCCAACACAATAGCTTGAATCAATCTCCTGCATTTTGGTCGGCCAACATTCCTGTCTTCTGACAAAATGATTTCGAAATCACTTGGTGAAGTGATGAGCAACACGCAGTAATGTGCCAAAGAATCGTTCTGAATTAACATACCGTATTTGGATGTATTTGGTCGGGCAACCTGTTGATTGAATGAACATGAGCCTCAAAGTCACGTTTTATGCCATTGCCTCCAACCTGCATTGATCTGCAAGCCTCTTTTCACCTACCATCTCCAACCTTTCGATACCAACAACAATTTTTGTCCAACCAAGGCATTTGGAGGAAAACGGTGTCCTACATCATCTTCCCCAGGGTCAGTGCGTTTCAAACTCTTTTTAGAGCATAGGGTCTTAGAGGCAGCGATTCTAGACCACGCAAGTCTTGACGGGTGCTTGGTTTTGCTCTGATTTCTGCTTGCAGGACAATCTGAAAGTACTGCATGGAACGAACATCGAGCGCCATGCACCTATTATATAACATACCCCCTTTGATAGACAACTTTTGGAGAACAGAGGGGGAGGACGAGCGCCTTTTTGGGAACTTGTCATGATCTTGCCAGACAGTAGCGCAGTAAGCTTTTTTTTAAGAAGGTGAGGGCAAGGCAATTTCAAAACATGACTGGTCCACGCAACGTGCGCTTAACAAAAAAACACTGGGCAACTGTGATGCACTGTGTTAGTGACAACAGAAATGAAAACACATGAATGTTCAATGATTTTATGGCTTGTAAGGATATGATTTTATGATTTATGTAAGGGGATAATTTTACAACCCTCCAACATGTCATTTGTTTAGGTTCTATTTGATCACCGTCTGTCGCCATTGCTGCATACTTTTGTAGAAAGTTCTAAGATGCAGTGTCAAGGGGGTATGCTTCATCCAGAGGGTATCCTATATGACGTCCTTTACAGCACTGTATTGTTTTTTTTGTCCACGAATTTCCCCCAGTCTTACCAACCCATGCATAGGACATGTTGAAGGTCTGAAATGATAAGGCAAAAAAGTCTAAAATGGCATAGGCTGAGTCTAGACCTTCAACGTTCTGGTCCCTGGGCCCACTTGTTCTAGACCCTAAGTACTTAGTAAAGTACTTGAGGGTATAAAATGGTGGAGTTCAGGTTTAGGATCATGAAAATGGATAAGAATGGACCGAATCAACTGATTCTTTTAGTACAAAAAGATGACATATTTTGACCACAAAACAATCGCTCAACGATATTTAAAACATTTAAAAACCACATAAACCAAGAATTCCTGGAACGCCATGGTGGATTCACCCTCCTCGTCTCCAAGGCCATGGTGGATTCTACACATGGAGGATGTTGGTCGTAGCATTTCCACCGTGATCATCGTGAAATGCCTCGTGGAAATGCCTCGAACATTGGATGAATTCACCCCCAAAATCCGATAGCTAATCCGATTTCTGTCGTTTTTCACGGTGGTATGTGCTGAAAATATCTGAAAATGGCATTTCAGAAATGATGTTATAACCGCTATGAACTACAGTAAATCGTTTATACCGTAATCTGGTGAGAAAACAAATGCCATCGATTTAAAACATGTTGCAACAAATGGTTGCAATCAATTTAAAACATGCAGCAAATGGATGCGTCCTTCAGCCAATCAGCTACGGATGCTGGAGTCTCTCCCCATCTCTCCCCCTTCTGATTGACCACAGACACGGGCAGGTAGACAGCCGAGGTAGACTGTCAGAATGGCAGGGTTTGACCAGCATGGACTCAAAGTGCGCGGATATGACATGGAGCGACTTTTCGCATGAAAACAAAGGCGAAACCTTGGAAAACAAGGATGCCTCAAATAAGTCAAACATACAGATGTTTTACTATGTACTCTCTCTTTGCCCAATTTTAAAGGAGCTGCATGGTCAATTTCAAGACCACATTTTGCAGTCCAGTCCGATATCCTTCATCATCCTTCATCCTTCAGGCCAAAATTTGATCACATCAGAAATATCACAGCAAACGGCATAGCAGTGAGGGTATCACCGGCTGCCGGTTTCCACCCTGTGGACATAGGGCACTTGCTGACAGGATCGTCTAAGTCGATGCCACTGTCTGGGTCCTCGTAGTACGTAGCAAAGGCCGCTGCCTAAGAGTTGTCAGGCAGCGGTCAATTTTTGGCCAACAACCAACAAAAGGACAAAACATGATATGAAAATTGGCCAGAATATGTGTACTAATTACATATTACATGATATTACAGATAGTTGCATTGGTTAGTTGATGTTGGTTCATATTGGTTAGCTAAATGCTCAGTTCTCTAGTTGGGGATACGCCCATCATTCACATGGTGATTGTGTAAAATGTTGCGAAAACACATGTGAGCAATATGCACACACGCTGTAAACCCTTTCTGCTTGGTTGAGAGGAGTTCCAATATCGAATGAAAGGCATACGCAATAGTAACATCCATTTAACCCAATATTTTATTTAACCATGCAGTTTGTACAGCCGAATTAGCAATCTACCAGGAACTCTGCCTTTGGAAGCTGGATAAGGGATGCGAAAAAACAACTCACTACGGGCGGGAAACGGTAGCAGGATCACTTTGGAACACAGTCTGAAGCGCCACTTTGGAACACAGCGATTTTAGCCTCACTTTGGAACACAAAATGATACACATCATCAAAACAATGCCAACCACATAGACATGAGATTTACTGACAGGCGCACTACTTTGGAAGCCTGGCACGTTCCAAAGCGAGGTCAGGACCAAAAAAGGCCTCCTATGAAAATTATAGCCGTTAGAAAACCAAGCCTCTTCAAAATGCGCACCCTCACTCACTTGCGCACCCAGGAGCAAAATGTCACTCACTTGCGCACCCTGATCATCTCTCATTCATGTTCCAGGAGGGTGGGGTGGGGTGGGGCGGGGTAATAACGTTCATGTTCCTGTGCACGCACAGGCACAGCAACCTCATCATCTTTCTTGCTGTCCTGCAGACACAGGCATTGCTCTTTCATGATCAGTTACCGGTGGGGTGGGGTGGGGTGGGGTGTGATGACGATGATGCTGATTATGACGATGATGCTGCTGATGATGATGATGATGACGATGATGATGAAGGTGTGATATATGTATATATATATATATATGTGGTGGTTGATAGATTCTAATACTCTCATGCTGCTAAAAGTGTTGTCAACATAGAGGTGTGTAACTATCAGATTATATTGAAAGGACATTGATAAAGCGCCACGTGGTTTTGGTTTAATGCTCGGGGATACGCGAAAACTGAACCAAGTTTGCATTCCACTATTAAACTAAACAAAGTGGCTTGACTGTCTTGCAATTACCGTGCATGCAAGTGGTCTCTGGACGACGGCACGTACGCAGGGCGCCCGCGAAATCGCAATACCACATAACACACGTGCCCACACACCCGACGCACACACACTCATTACCAACATTTACGCTACGGGTATATAACCCTTCACCGAACATAAAGAAACAGCAGGATCAGCGCGCTGCACCTTTACGTAATGGTGATGATGATGATTATGATGATGATGATGATGATGGTGATGATGATGATGATGTATGGCCTTAGACGGGGATGAAGAACGTGATGATCAGGCGCGTTCCAAAGCGATGCTTTTGAACGCATTCCAAAAGCGAGGGCCCAACCTGCTCCAGTGATATGAGTGCTGGGGATGCTCAAGTTGAAATCTGAGCGACTTCAGGACCGTCTCACTGTCTCACATAAACCTGCTTCAATCTTCTGGTATTGTACCACCATAACTATTGACAATCACAATGTTTTTTGTCTGGCAAATCCTTCTAAATGGGACATGGCTTCCATGGCTAAACACTAAACACAAATCCAAGTCTTCAGAGGGAAAAATGCACAACGGCGGATGTTGTAGCCATGGGGCCACCAGGCATTTCGTCATGGAAAACAAGCGGACGATGGTATTGCCACTCATCTTCGCCTGGTAGGCGTCACAGCGCGTTTGCCCTCTTTGGATGGGATGAAGATTCGATGCGATTCTTGGGGCATATCACGTTGACAAAATGGAATGTGATAATGTGAAATGATCAGCCTTCATTGGGAAACTCTGGTTATGTTAGTTTTGGTTCAATATTAAATTGACAATTATTATAGCTATTGACATGACATCATGCGAGCAATTCGTCCGTTGGCTTCCAAGTTTTGAATATGTTTCCAACCAGGTAGCCGTAGCTCTGGCATGTCGGTACTCGGATGGTCTCGGCTGTTCCTGTTTTGCTCAATAGCATCATGATAGGTCAAAAATGGTCAAAAACCCAACGGAACATCGAAGGCAGAACAGTTTTCACATAACATGCCCACGATTTTGCTGTGAAAACGAGGCAAAATAAGTGACCAGATGTTGATGATGTTGTACCAATTTATATCGCCAATCAACCCCTGCCATTGCAAAAAAAAACGTGCATCGATTGCGAACCAGCGCAGTCTGATTTTCAAACAACTCAGAGATTTGATGACAGCTATGGATCAGATCATCTCATCGATCAAAAAACCCAGATCCTCGATCCATTTTGGGTAGATCACGGTGAAAGCCCTGGTGGTTTTTTGCGATGTTTTGGTCAAAAAATGATATTGCAAAATCATTGAATTGAGAAGTTGTCTCAAACATACGGAATCCTCAAATCCCTATCCTAAATCCCCAGATTTGTGAAATATACCCTCTGGTTATTTAACATAGCCATGGAAAATGGTCCATTTATAGATGATTTTCCCATTAAAACCTCCATTTATAAGGGATGTTCCATGGCTATGTTAGTCATAACCAGATGGTACCCATGATTTTTGAATCCATTCACTAACCTGAATTAAGGCCATTTGGGAATGATTTCCCTTATTAACCATGATTTCCAGTGAGGTTTCAGTGAGGTCGTTATAATTTACCCAGATTTATATCCATGGAATCTCGTATACCGCGCCTTTGAGTCCACGTCTTGGTACCCGGCATCTTGATAGAACACTAAACTGCCACCGCGCACCTGGGAGCTGATGGGAGCTACAATGGAAAACAAAAAGAGAGGGACGAGAGAGAGATGAATACCCTCTGGTAAATTAACATAGACCCTGGCAGTTGTCGGGGTTGGAAGACTAGTTTCCATTCACAATTGATGATTTTCAGGGTCAACAAGTTTATTTGCCAGAGGGTATATTGAATATGGATACGGATATAGACCAGAACTCATACATCTGTGATAATGTGTGCAGCATGTGTAAACAATTCAACACATGACACATCGATGCCACGGCTGCCATGGTGGACGCACGAGGCGCAATGCCACAGGCAACACCCGCGAAATGTTTCATCCGACAGCGCCATTGAAGATACCTGCGCTGAAGGTCGACCCACGGATACCCCAATTTGCCTTTTGCGGTGAAAAATTGGGGAGCTACCATTTTAGTAGCAGATGATCACTTCAGGGGATCCTCCTGCGATTAATCAAGCAGTGTTTATTCCCAGAGGATCCATGGTGCTGGAATATTTACCTACATTGACCCCTAAAGTAATTTAAAATAATCCCAATGTAGGTAAATATTCCATACATGGATCCTTAGGGATTAAACTGGAGTTGACATTGTAGTGATTTGTCTTTCAACGCTGGGCACTCAAGAAACATCAGCAAACATCATCAACATTGGGTTCACTGCTGCCTTCATGTTGATCCGGCACGACAAAATATCATATACAACTGCAACAGGAGTGATAGATACACATCTAGACAAAACATGAAGGAAACAAAATACTAATAATTACTAATAATCAATGATGATGATTCTTACCATTTTTTGTCAGGGCCTCCAGAGGTTTTGCCCTACACTTCGCCAATGCTCATTGTCAATACCATTATCACATATTGTCATTTCATCATCATTTATTTAGCTATGGTATTGATCATTGGCATTACCATTAGAATTATATATTATAATATATTATAAATCATATATTACCATTGATCATATAGCAATTCAAATACCAATGGCAATATCATCTATTTACCCTCTGGTAAACGGGCTAAAATAACGAACTGGAAAATCACATTTTTTCATGGGAAACTTCACTATTTCTATGGGCCATGTTCTGAGAGGTCACTGGCGGACGCGCTCCAAGGGGCCATTAGCCATACCTGTCCGTTGCCGGAGTTGCGCTGGTTTTAACGTTACAAAAGAGGCATCAATGGTGATTACTTAATGATGATTAATGGTAACTAATGATTATTAATGGTGATTTTCATGGAACATGATCTACAAATCTAGGTCAATCTTAGATTATCCTCCAGTACCCTCTGGTAATTTGTTACATGCCTATTGAATTTGGTGATTTATAGTGGATTTAGACATTGAAACTAGGTGATTTTCCAGAGTGATGTAAACGTTTACTGGAGGGTATATCATCTATGGATATCCATGGGTCTGAAGTTTGTTTTTTTTGAGGGGGGAATGGCCTTAGCTGATGGTGACTCATTGATAGGATGGATGCTGAAGTGACATATTGAATGGGATTTACTCGCCGGCGTCCAAAAAAACCGTGGCTGGTTCGCTGCTGGGTTAAATCCCCGAACGAGCAATCTGGAGGTTTAGTTCGCTGGGAAACTCGAATCTGGTTGGTGGTGCAATGTGCGCATCTAGAAAAGTATGAAAGTCAATGGGAAGGATGACATCCCATATATTATGGAAAAAATAAAGACATGTTCCACACCACCAATCAGCATTTGGTTTTCCACTGATTGCCCAACTCATGGATGAAAGGAAGATCAGGGATCCAAAGATCCAAAATGTCTACCAAACCAGGACCTTCACCTCAAGAGTTGTCCTTCAAATGCTGGAGGCTCCAACCGTCAAGCGGGCCCAACTTAGTTTCATCCCCATAGAACTGTCTTTCTTGGAGGTTTTTGACGCTGCTCATATATTTATTGCATGCAGGCTCTTGACATCTACTTACGTGTTTTTCTCCTCCTGCCGTTTAGTTCTGAACCATTTATATATAGGGTGAATGGTAAATAACTACTTCGTGATACGGGTGTCTGAAAAATGCTGAAAAATGTGGAATCATATCCTCAAACTGATCTGGTTGGTGGTTTCAACCCCTCTGAAAAATATGAGTTCGTCAGTTGAGATGATTATTCCCAAGATATGGAACAATAAAAAATGGATAAACATGTTCCAAACCACCAACCAGTATATAGATCTATTAAGTCCATATTAAGATATACTAAGTCCCAGCAAAACCAATTAATTAAGTCCCTATTGCTGATGGTTTAAATGTTCCAGTCACCACCAACCAATGATCATTTTCATTGGGAAACCGATCACATTCGGGGCACCCTTCGAACATCCCTCCGCTAGTCCGCCTACCAGCGCCGCATCACAGCTGGGCCATGCTGGTAGTGATCCCGCCTGGCGAAAGGGGTTGAAATCGACTGAACATGAACCCAGTCGAAGCCACTACCCTCTGGTAATTTAACATAACTATGGAAAATCAATGAAAATCACCATTTTTAACGGGTAAATCCACTATAAACGGCCATTTTCAATAGCTATGTCTGTTTACCAGAGGGTAATGGCATAAAAACCAAAATAAATCATCCCCAAAATGTCATCATAAATGGATATACATGTTTTTTTTTTTTTTACATGGTTAAAGCATCCCCAAATGGTAGGTTTATTAGTGGGTTGCCCACATTAGTCACACCTAGTCACATCCAGTCACATCTAAAAATGTCACTACCAGTTGGTGGTCGTCTTTGACAGCTGAAACCTTTGGTTTTTGACGCACTCAAGTTCAAAATAACGCCCGTTGCGGCATGGGACTAGCCAACTAGTTGGGAAGCATCCCCCAGTCTGATTGAACATGTTGATCAACACCCCAAAGATCCAAAGGGACTGAAACCATCGGGTGCCAAAATGTACCAAATTCTCAACTGCTCACATTCATTTTGGAGATGAAATCTGACATACTCTTGAGGTCATTTGGGCCAACGGTGTTCGCGATCGCTGCCAACTTTTCGAACTGGCGTAGCTCGCAGCGCAGTTTTTCTGGTGAAACCAATGCTGACAACTGACAACGAACGTTTCAGCCCCTTTAAGCAATGATATCTACCCTCTGGTAAACATACAAAAAACTATTGAAAATTGCCATTAGTTGATTTACTATGATTTACCCATTAAAAATGGTGATGTTCAATAGTTAAATTACCAGAAGGTGTCTAATTCTGTATGATGTGTAGTATGCCCAAATGATATGGTGAAAGCTGCAATCCTTGGAGGATCCAAAGCCCAGGATGATTTCTACCAGGGACCGACCTCTGCTGAGGCATGCTGCTCTCAGTCCTTTCTGCACGCGCCGATGAGCCATTCCATACCCTCTTGCCTGAGATTCCATGGCGAATGTCAAGTCCTAAGATGTCCTAGCACTTGAAGATACTGGAAGGAGAAAGGGATGGTCAAACTCACGGAGATCTAGAAGAACAATCAATATAAGGCCATATTTTCTGGGGATATTCCCTTAGGCCTTATATATGGTAGGTACCTCCAATTTATGTTATCACCTCGCCAGGCTGCAATCCGTCACCCTCCTTCGCGCTGCAGGCTTGGATTTGCCAAATGCGGTCACCAATGGCTTCCTGGTCGCCACGAATACGGCTTAAAACGTGGAGGTCAAGATACGGCGATGGCTAGAGAGGCCTCCATGAATCCCCCTAGTAGGGTCACCACGGCTTGAATCCCCAGTGTTCCACATGTGGTCAAGGCTGCCAAGGCTCTAAGTTCAATACTGATGCTATTTCGGAGGCGGGCGAGGCACTCATTAAGTCCTGCTTGTTGGCGAAGACCTGCGATAGTGAATCCAAAGCCGCGCTGCGATACCGGAACTGCCCCTTAGATATCTAAGTTAGGTTTAAAATTATGATACCAGGAACTACCATTTATGGTGTGAAATGTGTAACATGTGTAAGTAGTTAGTTTGTTGAATGGGGGTATAGACCAACATGGACAACCTTATCTCTTGGGAACCTTCCATGAGATCGTGAGCACCAACACAAGGGCACGAGGGAAGATTATGGAAGATTCCAGTATGGCAAAGAAACACCAAAGGTAAACCCATCATGTCAACCCCCATTGAATAACGCCCAAATTCTGGAGGTTGGGAATGAACCACTAGTTCATCAGTCAGATTCATGGTTTGGTAAAGTCATAGTGAAACCATAGTAACACCATAGTAAAACCATGTTAGAAAAAACGAACAACCATAGTAAAACCATAGTAGAGCCATAGTAAAACCATAGAACAACAATAGTATCATCATAGTAACGCCATAGTGAAAAAATAACAACACCATAGTAACACCATAGTAAAACCATAGTAGAAACATAGAAAAACACATCTTTAAACCATAGTAATACCAACGTAAAACCAAAGAAAAACCATAGAACAACAATAGTAAAACCATAGTAAAATCATAGTAACACCATAGTAGAACCATAGGAAAAAAAAACATTAAGCAAACCAAAGTAAAACCATAGAAACCCAATAGAAAAAAACATAGTAAAGCCATAGAACAACGACATAGAAAAGCCATAGAAGAACAAAGTCATGCCGCCCGAAATGACGCGGGAGTTTTCACTTTGGTCTTCAATAATCAATTCCTTGCAATCAGAAACATCATGATCATGCCAACTAACTTCTTTTTTCTCTGCTGTCTGTTCTGCTGGTCAAACCATTTCTTCAAGTGTTCCAAAACTTGTTCTGTGCAAGTGCAAGAGAAGATCTTGTAGCGTAGCGTCAGTTTGCTGTGCAAGTCAATGAAGAAGTGGATAAAGAACGTTGTTGCGCCCCACCCACCACCCCGGTGTTAGCAAAAAAACAATAACAGTAATAGTAAAATCACAGTAGAACCTTAGTAGAACATGTAGAACCATAGAAAAAAACATAGTAAAACCATGGTAGAAAAACACATAGAACAAGCATATTAAAACCATACTAAGACCATAGAAAACCATAGTAAAACAAAACCAGCGTAAAACCATAGTAGGAAAAATGAAAAAAAAACATAGAACAACCATAGTACTAGCATAGTAGTAAAACCATAGTAAATGAAAAAAACAGAGGAACACATAGTAAAACCAAGGCAAAACGATAGTAAAACCATAGTAAGACCATAGTAAGACCATAGAAAACCATCGTAAAACCATAGCAAATGAACAACCAGAGAAAAACAAATAATTACTAAAACCAAGGCAAAACCATAGTAATAAAACCATAGTACAACCAGCAAAACCATAGGAAAACCATAGAGAAACCATAGTAAAACCATAGCAAAACCATAGTAAAACCATAGTAGAGCCATAGATTATAGTATAACCCAAGATATTGGTTGTATGATGACTGGCTTTGCTCACTGATTCCACTGATCGCCAAGTGACGAGCATCGGAATGCCTCCGAGCTTGTCCTGTCCGGGAGATCCTTTGGGGATCACAAAATCCACCTGCTTTGGAAGAATGAATCACTCAATGGGAATTTCAGGATCCTAAAATGGAGGTACGTTAGTACCATACTATAAGGCCATATTTTCTGGGGATATTCCCTGAAATTTAGGCCTTACATAGGCCTTATATATATGGTAGGTACCTCCAATTTTTGGTTCCTGAAATGGCTATTGAATCACCCTCTGGTAAGCTATCATGACTATGGAAAATACCACCACGTTTGAGAAGCAATTCAACCATTATTTGCTGTGGAAAATCACTTCAACAAGTCTTCGCATGACAAAAGCACGACTGGTCCATGTGAGATTTCCCGGGAGTAATGCCTTTGAGCGACCCAACCTGGCACAGGTCAGAATTTCCGAATTTGATTCGACGTGATCATGGTGACAACAGTATGTAGGACAGTGCTTGGTGAATGATGATGATGATGGTGATGATGATGATGATGATGATGGGATGCTGGGATGCTGGGATGCTGGGATGCTGGGATGATGCTGTTGGTGAGTTATTAGTAGAAAAAGGATATAGATCCTTTGGTCCTCTGACCGGGCAGGGACATGTTGCAATGATTCCAAGCCTGGGGGAACATTCTGCTTACAGTCATCCCATGGTACCCCCTAACCCATCTGTCCTCCCTACACGAATTAGCATTTTTGTACGATCACTATCACCATTCTTCAGCTTCATCATAGTTTGTGCCAATCAAAAGTCCCGTTTTTTTCGTTGTTCTCTCTCTCTATATATATATATGCGGAGATCGGATCCAATTCTATCCAAGGCTACCGAGGGGTAAACAACATGTATGTATGCAATGTATATGTATAATATGTCATGTTATGTTCTCTGAAATTGTGTTCCGTCATGTTACGCAATGCAATGCAATATAGTTTACAGCATGTCAGTATGCTTCTGTATGTGCATAAAAGGTCATCATGTGTGCCAAATCCTTAACAACTTGACTTTGGGAGAGAGCCATGCGAATATGACCCTGGGACACAGGGTTCCGTCATCACATGGTGGGAAATCTGCAAAAGTTAGGTTTTCCTTCTGATTTCTCTTCTGGTATTTAAAATTATTGGTGTCACAAATCTCTTTTTTCAAACAACAAAAAGTCTGAGAAGGGATGATGCTGGGCATGTTCTCTTCCATCTCTCCTCCTCCCGTTGAATTCACAGATTTTCCCGTATTTTACCCATTTAAAATCGGGTGTGAAATAGTTTTAGGTTTTTTTTTTTGAGCAGGTTTGGGATTTTTTTTTGGATTTCTTGGCTGATACCATTTGCCTAGTGTTTGCAACGGTTTGGAACTTGAATTTGTCATTTTGCATGGTATTTGCCACATTTGGGCATGTTCACCTTCCATTTTGCATGGGATTTACTACATGTGGGCATGTTCACCTTCCATTTTGTATGGTATTTGCCACATTTTGGCATGTTCACCTTCCATTTTGCATGGGATTTACTACATGTGGGCATGTTCACCTTCCATTTTGTATGGTATTTGCCACATTTTGGCATGTTCACCTTCCATTTTGCATGGGATGTTCTACATGTGAGCATGTTCACCCAAATATTTACAGATGCGGAAGCTTGGGATTAGATAAAAAGCGGTTGGGGGGGATTGAGGGAGGGCGCTAGCTATCTATCCAGCTAGCTAGCTATCTAGCTATCTAGCTAGCTATCTATCTAGCAAGCTAGCTATCTATCTAGCAAGCTATCTATCTATCTAGCTATCTATCTACCTATCTAGCTAGCTATCTTGCTAGCTATCTATCTGCCTATCTAGCTATCTAGCTAACTATCTATCTAGCTATCTAGCTATCTAGCTTTCTATCTATCTAGCTATCTATCTATCTAGCCATCCAGCTGTCTATCCAGCTATCTAGCTATCGAGCTATCTAGCTAACTATCTATCTAGCTATCTAGCTATCTAGCTTTCTATCTATCTAGCTATCTATCTATCTAGCCATCCAGCTGTCTATCCAGCTATCTAGCTATCGAGCTATCTAGCTATCTATCTATCTAGCTAACTATCTACCTATCTATTTAGCTATCTATCTATCTATCTAGCTATCTATCTAGCTACCTCTTTATCTATCTAGCTAGCTATCTATCTATCTATCTAGCTATCTATCTAGCCATCTATCTATCTAGCTATCTATCTAGCCATCTATCGATCGAGGTATCTAGCTATCTATCTCTCTAGCTATCTATCTATCTAGCTGGTTATCTATCTATCTAGCTATCTATCTAGCCATCTATCTATCTAGCTATCTATCTAGCCATCTATCTATCGAGGTATCTAGCTATCTATCTCTCTAGCTATCTATCTATCTAGCTGGCTATCTATCTATCTAGCTATCTATCTACCAAGCTATCTATCTATCCAGCTATCTATCTATCTATCTATCTATCTATCTATCTATCTATCTATCTATCTATCTATCTATCTATCTATCTATCTATCTATCTATCACATGTAATCCTGTCAGCTTTCCAGAGAAGGTTAGTTCGCAAAAACCAACTAATGTAACTTGGGTTAAAGTTTAAATTAAAAAAAGCGGGAGGGGGGGATTGGGGAGGGCGCAGCGCCTCCCCCCAAAGCAGAATGCAAGCACCTCTTCTCACATGTTACGTTGCTAGTTTTCAAGAGAAGGTTGGTCATGTGATACTCAGGGATGTAAATACTGTGCAAAATGCATCTTACATGAAAATCAAGTATTTAAAGCAGGCAAAGCAAAAAAAAAGCAGAGAAGCAAAAAAGCAGAGAAGCAAAGAAACAGGAAACGCACAAAAGCAAAACAGCAGAAAGGCAAAGAAGCAGGAAAAGCAGAAAAGCAGAGAAGCAGGAAAAGCAGGAAAAGCAGAGAAGCAAAGAAACAGGAAAAACAGAAAAGCAAAAAAGCAGAAAAGCAGAGAAGCAGGAGAAGCAGGAGAAGCAGAAAAGCAAAAAAGCAGAAAAGCAGAGAAGCAGAGAAGCAGGAGAAGCAGAAAAGCAAAAAAGCAGAAAAGCAGAGAAGCAGGAAAAGCAGAAAAGCAAAAAAGCAGAAAAGCAGAGAAGCAGGAAAAGCAGGAAAAGCAGGAAAAGCAGGAAAAGCAGGAAAAGCAGGAAAAGCAGGAAAAGCAGGAGCAGGAAAGCAGCAGGAAAAGCAGAGCAGAGAATCCAAAAATAATTCCCAAACCTGATCAAAAAAAAAAACCTAAAATAATTAGCCCTCCAAATAAAAGTCTGAGAAGGGATGATGCTGGGCATGTTCTCTTCCATCTCTCCTCCTCCCGTTGAATTCACAGATTTTCCCGTATTTTACCCATTTAAAATCAGCATGTCCCAGTCAAACTATCACCCCTCCAAGATGAAGTATGGTTCCATCCGACATAGTGACCAGTGTTGCTGACATCCCCTGAAATCCATGCGCCATGCGCATGAGCTGTCTCAAACATACCCACCAAAAAAATGGGAAAACACTGGTTCCCCAGGTTTCCCCTTAAAGTTAAAATGGTTTAAACTTAGGCCGGGCCATATATACCTATCAAATACCTATAAAATATTATAAAATATCATGCGGTATCCCCATGTCAATTCAACATAGACATGGAACATGACCGATGTCCAAATGATTTACCTGTTCTCTCCATGGCCATTGAAGGCAATGACAAATTGATTGCTTACCAGAGGGTACACCCCCATATGTTCTCTCCATGTGTTCCCCAATTTCATGCGGGTTGGAATTTGAGGTTCCCCATGGATCATGGTCATTTTTGGGTGCCAATCAAGGTGCATGTTCGATTTAGTTCTTTGAATTTCCATTGTGTGTGGGTTAAATTCCAATCTCCCCATGATCAATATCATAGACTCTTCGCTGCATGTCCGATCAAATCCCCACTTTTTACTGGAGCCGTGTTTAACCCCAACCTTTGCAGCTAAAATCCCCATGTTCCCCATGTAACTATGAGTCTAAAACCTTGATGCCCAGTTTAAGTACGTCTCCCAAAAAACAAAAAACACAACTTAATTTTCATTGTTTGCCAAGTTTTTCAAAAGAATCCCCGTGGTTTTCATATGTTTTGACCCATCAGCACCATGGACGGCGCCAAGCGCTCCTCAGCCAGCAGCTCCGCCAACTCCGCGCCGCTTTCCTCCAAACGCCTGCGGTCGGAGCTGTCGATGACGTAGACCAGGGCCTGGGAGAAGCGCTGAAATAGCAAGGAAAACCATGGGAAAACCATGGGAAAACCATAGGAAAATGGAGGATATACCCTCTGGTAGTTTAACATAGCTATTGAACATGGCCCATTTATAGTTGATTTACCTATTAAAAATTGTGATTTTCCATAGCTATGCAAACGTTTACCAGAGGGTATGGAAGTTCTGGATATAAAACAGGAAAATGATCTCTGTTGATAGCATATATAGCACTCCTCAAAAAGGATGCCGAAACGTTGAAAACCTGCATATGGAGGAAACATCACCCATCCTGGACACACGTTTCGATCTTTTGGGGAATGGCCGTAGATCATGTTATAACATGTAACCGTGGTTTGCATCTGATTGTCAACGTGTACATGAGATAGACAATAACGATTCTGTTCATTATCGCTATACCCAGAAGACATCATGTTTATCCATTGGGCCTTAGTATCAATTGAATGGGTATGAATTTAATGGCAACACATCTTTAGCATCATCATGTACCATCAATATTTATGGCACTAGTATCTGCCAACATTTGGGAATCTCATACGCTCATAGCCTCAGCAATACCAGTTGCTAAAACTGATTGGCCCGAAGATGGAGTTTTGAGCTATGAGCAGGCCAACCACTTTTAAATCTGGGCATTCATGTGCTCGAAGCAAATCCAGACCATCCCAGGAAAACCTGTCAGTCTACAACACATCGTCTGTTCCAGAACTACTCAAAAGTTCCTCCCAAATTTTGGCCCAAGTTTTGGTTGTTGCTCACGGTTTTTCACGGTCGTTTCACGGTCGTTGTATAAACTTCTTCACGGCCCGATGAAACTCACCGGGATATTGTACGCAATCCTCACATGCTAATAATCTTGAATCTCTACATAGGAGTGAAGCACATAGCAACACGTGGCAGATTCCTTGCAGGCACGTTTGAGGCGCATCTAATAAGAGCAAGTGGCTACGGCTACTCATCAAATTTATTGGGCCATTGCATCTCAACTTGTGGCACGGTGGGGGTCACGCGCGCCCCTGTCGACAAAGCATGTGTATATACATATATATATATATGGCATTATATGAGGCTATCTACTATTAGCCACATCCAGGGGCTTCCAAAGACCAAGTTAAACCTAGTTGATCCTAGTTGTTGCGAAAAACACCTAAAAACCAAGTGAAACTTGGTCGAGGAAGCCTTGGGATTCATTGATTCATTGGTTCATTGGGTCAGTTGTGCGGGGATTCTTTCAGGTCATTTCATATAGGCCATTGATTTCTGAAAAAAACATGTCATTTCTTCGAAACTTCCGCCCCGGTGTGGGCCGGGCCGGGCAGTAGCTGGTGATGTTAATAACCTCTATTCTGCTATAGTTGTTGGCTTTGCAAAAGCAATCTTACGATGTGGCGACTGATGGGGCCATCGTTGAAGTGGAGGCAAAACTATCTACCCCATGTCCACCATGGTCTCGACACCGCTGTCAAGGCGCATCAGTGTTCTCAAAGTAGTTGCTCCAATACGGCCTGATGGCCTTCTGCCCTCCAATGTCCCACACATTCCTTGCAAGTGAGGCATTCCAAATCCCGCCCGAAACACGTGGTACTTTGGCGATCTGGAAGATTCTTGGCACAACCCTGTACCCACTTCGGTCTCTGCCATCGTGTTGCCGTATCCCTGCCATTTTTCCAACCTGTTCGGTGAAGGTCTCTGGATTTTCTGTCAGCACCTCCTTGCTCGTCATCCTCCACCTCCTCCAAACTGTCAGAATATATGGCTCCCAGAATATGTAAGAGAAACGTGCAAAATAAATCAAAATAATAGATGCCAGAAGATATGTTAGAAAACATGTCAAAAGATCTGTCAGAATGTATGTCAGAAGGTATGTCAGCACATATGTAAGAAATAGATTAGAGAAACTGCCAGTATGTATTAGTATGTATATATATATATGTATTTATTTACAGTATGTCAGAATGTAGCGTAGAAGTCAGAAATTCTCAGCAGATCTGTCGGAATAGATGTCAAACAATATGTCGCGATAATTCGCGATATCTACGCTGCAAAACATGTCGTCCAGCACAAGGTTCAACTTGAAGCCCTCGTGCACCTCAGCTCGCAGGGTGCCCGCGGACCACCCTACCCCGGTCCGTTTCTCAAACATGGCATGGTCCATGACAATATCTGGTTGGTGGTTTCAACCCATTATTAGTCAGTTGGGATGATTGTTCCCAATATATGGAAAAATAAAAAATGTTCCAAACCACCAACCAGATATGGTGGGTGTGGATTGCGGTTGCCGGGGTACTAAGCTCTTGATGTTGAAGCCCTGCGTCGGCATGATATGCGTAATGTCTTCCTCTGATAATTTCCTCGGTGAAATTCAGCACGCGCTAGCCGCAAAACGAGGTTGGGAGCAAAAGAAGGATTCGGGGTCAAAGTCAATAGTTATATCGATGTGTTGTTCCAAAATGAGGATGAATCGATCAAACACTGGTTACCGACGATGTTCTTTTCTGTCGCAAATGAGGGCAAAACATAAAGAGGCAACCAAAAAGAGAAGCAGTGTAGCCTCCAAGAGTTTGACTGAAATCTGGATACCCTAAAATTTCATGTTGCGGATCATCATATTTCCCAGTATTGAATCAAAATTGCATAAACATGCCCTAAAACGAGCTATCTGCAGTCTCCGTGTTTATCCTGTATTTTAGACAACCTCAAAGAACACACATATCATATTCAAATTCATAAACAATCCCCGCATGCATGGCGTTTAACATATAATATTCCTATGATCTCAAAGTTGATACTGCAACCCCATTATATGTATATATATATATATCAACATCCATGCTGATTGCCTACAAATATCTAGCACCTTCCGGAAATCGACCATGGCTTGCTGGAACATCCTCCATTTCCTTCGGGGATTCCCAGCCGGCCTGCCAGGTTTGATTTTAGAAGAGCACCAGTATTGCATTGACAAAACATATAACTAGTAAATTCTTCACTTATCATTGATATATTTGATATATAGTGATTAATTATTTTTTGAAACTTATCATTAATTATCATATATATCTTAACTTATCACTTATCAATGCTATATTGATATATCTTCTGATCATTAGTATTACTCTGATAATGAATAATTACCATTAATTATATTTCATCATCATTATCATCATCATATCATCATCGTTATCATCATTAGTATTACTAAATATAGTAATATCATTATATGATAATATGACTTATATTATGATGATATACTATATGTATGACTATATGACTATAAGTATGATATACTATTATTACATATATGATACTATATGTATGACTTATCATCATGTTTTTTCCCTACACATCTCTGGCTGCGCGCTCTGCGGAGGATCTTCAGGATGGTGGTCTTCCCGGCATTGTCCAAGCCCAGGACCAAGATGCGAGCCTGGAAGCCATGTTTGGTAAACCTTCTAAGGTGTATATAGATCTGGGTAAATTATAATAATCATTGCTAAATAAATATATATATATATATATTAGCAAACCTAATCAATTATTATATAATTGCTAACAATATATTAGCAAAAATAATTAATTATTAATCTATAATAATCTGAATCTAGGTAAATTATAATTTTTCACTAACCTGAATTATATAGGGCCATTTGGGGATGATTTCCCTTACTAAGCATGATTCCAGTGAGGGAGAGCAGTGAGGTCGTTATAATTTAGCCAGATAGATATATACTGTAAGTGCAGGAATACACATACATTGACACACAAATTACATGTATTTCTACATATGATATATATATATATATACAGTAGAGTGAGAGATAATTGAAATACGGTAACTACATTTAAATATACGAACCGGTATTTCATACTACCTCCGGGGCCTGGCGGTCTGGCCCGCCCTCGACATATTGAAATGTCGTTACCGTATAATAGAATTAAATATGTGGATAAAATACACACACACACATGCACGCTTCTGCCATATCTACATAAATTTACACATACAAATGCGCATATATATATAATATAATATAACATATATATATATATATCTATTCGACAGGAAAAAAATAAATTGAACTTACTCGACAGCGTTGAAGAAGAAACATCATCATCTGCCACGGTGTCTCTCTCTCTCTCTCTCTGATGACCATTGTGATCCATTCTGATCCATTGCTATCTCAGCCCAGCAATGTGGTAAACCCAATAAACCATCCCCAAGTCATCACCAGTTTTATGGCTTGGATTCAAAGCAACCAAAGTCATGGCAGGCTTATGGCATTGGGTTTACCACATCATAATCCCATATTATTATGAATGAAGTCCGCTATAGGTTGGCATCACAGTGGTCCCACTTGGACCACTGGGAAGTGCAGTTCCAGCTATAATATATATATATATATAGAAATATATAGGGCTTACATCTAACTTACAGGGGTTTAGTTCACCACAAATGGTATAATGAATGATACCTACATATTCCATATACTGGGATTTATAGGGGTTTAGTTGACCATAGATGGTATATGAATCTTATAATTATTGATATTCCATATCCTTAAATATAGGGCTTACATCAAACTTATAACTTATAGATATTTATAGCCATAGAAGCAACCTCACCTGCACCCCCTGGCGCAGTGGCCTCTCGCTCTTCCTTCTTCATCTTCTTCAGGATACTCAGAAGCCTTGGGGAACCGCGAAACCGTCGCGAACCGATCCATAAATCCAGACTTCTACCTACAAAATGAGGCCCCCAAAATGGTGATGTAAGCAACAAGACTGAATGGGATGTAAAGCTGATTGATGATAGTTAAGTTGGCTTAAAACTTGTTGAACTAGGGCTTATGAGGAATAAAACAGTTCAACTATAGTTGATGGTTTTTTACAACCCAACTTAATCAACTTGTAAATGGGGACCCGGCCTTTTACCCATCCAATCCAATGATTACATAAATCCATCCATGTGAAGGGATGGGCGAATCGCGATATAAACATATATGAAATCGATTAAATACTAATTACTGCTGACTAGTACAACCAACATCACCATCAGCAGCAGGGTTTTAGACATTGTTCATGTCCCATGTTCATCTATTATGGAGATGTTCAGGTTGCTTGGTAGCAACTGGTGCCCCACAAGTAGTGTTGAGCTGGCTTGAGCCCATCCTTGAATGGAGAGATAGGACCTATATCAAATAGTTTGGCATTCAAATCAAATACCTCGAACTAAATCAGTTTTTCAAGAGCACCCTCTGGTATCAAACATGGCAATGGACAACTAATCTATAAGTCGGACTAGGTCGGTAACATCATCGATTTCACGATTTTCCAATTAATTATTCCAGTGCTACTTTAAGTTCACAAAAAGGTCTTGTTTGACGCTCGGATTGAATCCCGCTTGGGCAAATCGGTTGCATCTGAAAAAAACGACAACAATGCGCAGGTTGTTTTCGTATGACACTGAATGCGAACCGCCTGTTTGGTTGCTGTGTTTCACTGCTTTAATCGTTTCATGAACTGATACGCGAGCCAATTCACAAATCAATCCTGGCAAATGTTCCTTGTGCTAAGCATCTGAGAAATATTTGTCCAACTAATCATTCTAATGACAGCCTGGAACTCAATCTTCATCTTACCTCTCCTTATTTAACAAATGCAAAAAAAAAACACCCTCTGAAAGGCCGGTCTGTTACCCTAAACCAAGATGAACGGACAAGCCACCATTTGTAGATAATTTTCCTAGGGAAACCATTGGCGTTCCATATCTTGTCTGGAAAAACTCACAGGGTACCTCTCCTCCAGCGATCCAAGGTACCCCATGGTTGCAGTCGGCAGAAGTTTGGTCAGAGCTGTTTGGTCCGAATTGGCTGAGCACTGCGCGGAAAAGAATGATTGGCAAACAAAATGTTTTATGCGTTTTTTCAACCCCAGGTGCTTCTTGCTATACCACACTTCAATCAAGAACCATTTATACATTAGGAAAGAAACTGATGTAGTCATGTAGTCTGTACATGCATGGTTGCAGGCATGTGTTCCACCTTCTTTTCGGAGCTGATGCATGTCGGCAATCTTCACATGACTGGTGCCCAAATAATCCCTGCCCCCTATTACTAAACCCCCCCGAATAATAAAAACTAGGTCCATCTCCAATTTTGGAAAATTTCAGCCTGGCCAATTTGACTTTTAATTGATCCCCTTTAGAAAACAAATTAAACAAAACTATACTATTTATGGTTTTCACCCCCTAATAATAAAAACAAGTCAGCCCGGAGTGTTTTTTATTAGGGCCCGTCCGGAAATTTTAGTTTTTTTTTTAATTAAGGGTTTAAATTTATTAGGGCCCGCTTCAAAATCCAATTTTTGGCAATATTTTAATTGCGTTATAAAAGGAAAGTTAATTGATTTTGAAATCAAAGAAATAGTTTTTTATTAAGGGTTTCAATTTATTTTTAGGGTCCGCTTTCGTTCCCTAATAGTAAATTCAACCTCAATGATAAAAACTACCTGAGGTGTTTATTATTTGGGGGTGGGGTTTAGTATTAGGGTGAGAGGATTAAACATCAACTAACCACACAATACTTGCTGGACCTTGCTGGGTCAGGTCATTCACGTCTTTGATGGCTATGTTAATTTACCAGAGGGTAATATAAGGTCACATAGCTTTGGATCCCTTTGCTAAATTAATAGTTCGACCCTCCATCACAGGGTCTAGGCCTGCACTGGCTCGGCTGGCAAGTCTTTTGTCTTGCTGGTCCTCCCAGGGCTCCTTGGCGATGTGAATCTTTCGGGGGAAAATGTTGTAAGATTGGGACATGTTTTGATTACTGTGAATTACTGTAATATGAATGAATGAATTACTGTAAAATGAATGAATGAATGAATGAATGAATCAAGTTCTGCCAGGTACATTAGCTGCACTGCTGTGGCTCGTTGGTGAACGAAGAATGTTTTCAGCAAGTTTTGATTGGTCATTCTTCCAAATATGCATTAGTAGGAGGCCCCGCAAGTGAAATGCATCCATGTTGTGCCATAACGAACCCATGAGATGCACTGCAACATGAACGCATTTCTTCTTGGTATCTGCTATAGATTGTAAGTGTTCCCTTGTTCTTAGCACAATAATTAGTTGGAATATATTGGAAATTTAATTACTGTATATATATATATTGAATGTCTTTTGCACGCTATTTATCAATCTTTGATCAACAAGTTATATCTCCATGTATCCCCATTATCTGCCCATTGTATCCCCTTGTTTTTTTAATTATTTCCAAACAAAGAATCATGAGGTCACAAATCTCGAGACATTTGCCATTTACCAAACCCCACCACCTCAACGCGCATGAGCAGGACTGGGCGATCCAATTGTTTTGCACATGCTTACGCGCGCGCGTTCCTTTTGGGCATGTGCATGCATATACACACACATATATATATAAATAATATTGGTGTATGTATATATCTGTGTGTGTTCATGTATGTGTATATATATATATATGTGTGACTGTATGTGTGCATGCAAAGTATATTAATTATTAATGTGTAAATACGTGCAAGTCATATATATATATGTGCCAAACTATATACATATATATATATATATTTATGTATTATATGTTATGTATGATAATTACGATAATTACATGTGAACGAGCACATTCGACTTTTTGAATTTAATGTGTGTCCAAAACTGGCCAAACAAAAATCATCGCACCTATCTTTGCAATACCATTCCATGCGTTCACGCACTTTGCCCCATGCCCATACCCAACTAATAGGGATAATCGATGATAAATGATGATAATCATATGGATACGTATCGTTGGTAAAAAAAAAAAACACTGTGTTTTCCCTTGTCATCAGCCGTCCTCCAGGCTGTGGACCTTGACGGCGTTGGAGCCCGGGCGAGGTCGAGATTTTTTGTGCATAGTGCCATAGGGGAAGAGAGAGAGAGAGGTAGAGTTAGATGGCTAGAGTTGGATAGCATCCTTCCCTGTATCTTGATATATCATGATATATCTTCATACGTAATACGGATGCATCCTAGAAGGATAGAGAGATAGACAGGTAACGTGGATTGAGTTAAATTTAGATGGACCGATCAATAGAGCTGAGAGAGACAGATAGAGAGACCCCCAAAAATACAAACGGATTGACATAGAGAATTATGCAACGATGGATAGCTGGTTGCCCTTCATGGAACCACTGATGACATTTGAAAGATAGACCTGCAAATCTCAAATAAATGATGCATATCACTGCATATTCTGGCATATCTATCAAATGCCAGAGGTAGAGACAAAAACATCTACAGACACATATAGAATTCATAGCTCTGGGTGATCTGGGACCCATATTTCCTAATTCACTTACAGTACCTCAATAGGTCGCCCTCAGCGGGATGATTCCCCCCGAAAAACCTCGCAGGCAATGCGTGTGTTGGAGATCAAACTCGGTCAAAATCACCTGAACTCCACATTGATGTTTTGTAATCTGGTTGGTGGTTGACCTACCCCCCTGAAAAATGATGGAGTTCGTCAGCTGGGATGATGACATTCCCAATATATGGAAAAATAAAATTCATGTTCCAGTCACCACCAACCAGGGTGCACTATACATATAAATGCAGAACATCACATACCATCATATCATGTCATATCCGCTTGGAACATTTCTGAGTCTCTCAGCAACTGGAACCCCCGTCCCCGGCAAAACACGTGGTCAAATTTATGCTGATCTCCTTTGGGACGTGCTGCCCTCTAGTATATGAACACAAATATGGAAAAAAACAACTACCACTTGCAGATAGCTTTCCTAGCAATACCCATATCGTTTTCTCATGTTCGTTCACCGGATGCTAAATCCCTTTGTTTCATCATGTTTGATGCTTTTCCATTCTTGTCAAGTCATGTTAAAACCACAAAACCCATGACATGTTTCATCTGGTTGGTGGTTTCAACCCCTCTGAAAAATATGAAAGTCAATGGGAAGGATGACATCCCATATATTATGGACATTTATGGGCCATGGAAATTAAAAAACAAGATTGAAACCACCAACCAGGTAACCACTGTATATTATCCAATATTAAGTCCCATTAACCCATATTAAGTCCCTACAACATTGATGGTTGAATATCCATATTATTTTGAAACCACCAACCAGTCATGGTTCAAATCCCAACAACACACCGACATCGCATGGATTTTTTCTGTTCAGGTCCCCAACATCACGTCCGGACTGGGCCCCCGAACAACTCCTCCAGCAATTTCCTGGCAGCCGAAGTCTTGGGAGCACACAGCACCACCTCGGAGTCTCGGAGATCCATCGATGTAACATGGCTGGACCATGGCTGGTTTATGGTATCATTTATGGTACCCTCTGGTAAACTAACATTTTACTATGGAAAGATCCACCGTTTTTAATGGGAAAATCCACTATAAATGGCAATTTTTAATTGCTATGTTAAATTACCAGAGGGTATCAATGGATTGGTTTAAGGGAACATTAACAGAAAACCATTGTTTTTTGCCATGAAATATGGTGTTTTCCTGTAATTGTTCCCCTAAACCAGTCGATTTGTGGTATTATTAGAATGATATGCCATAGTTATATATATCATACTATGCCATATTTTCATGTCTAAGGGTATTACAGTATATATGGTATCATACAATATGGTATCATCAATTACAAATATGATAAATAAGAATATACATTATCTATATATATATATGAAAAATATGGTTATAAGATGATAAATATTGTAGCATCATGATATGTACCATTAAATGTTTACATGCCATGTGATAAATATGATATGTATGATTATAGTATGGAATGTTATATATATATATATATATGATACTGATAATACGATATATATATATATATATGATCATGATAAATATGATAAATATATGTACCCTATGGATCCAGCCGTACCTTCTCAGGAAGTGTTTGGGGTATGATTTGGGGGCTTAGCTGTTGAAAATGGCCATGTTGGCAGCATCCGCTTTTTCAGGGACCCTTGGAAGATGGAGCTAGCAGGCAGAACTGGCACATTTCGGTGGCAAAGCCAAGGCTTCACTGTTCTTAAAATAAAGCAGCTTTAGACTTTAGATCATTTACATCTTAGAAAAAATGAAAATGAGCAGCCGTTTCCAAACGTCCAAAGCTTATGGGGTTTTACCTACAAACACCAACAGAACTAACCAACAATGGTGCCACGCGGCCAATCGATTGAAGAGCTGCGCCCCAATGGTGCCACCCGTGACCAGAGGATCCACCTTGGGCTAACCATCCCAGAAAAGGACACTAATATACAATCATATACATATACGGTATAAGCACGCAGAAACACACACGGATATATAGACATATATATATAATATAATATTAATATAATATATATATATATACATGGATATGTTTTCCAACATTGAAGCTGAACTTAGTAATTCTAAATCGAGTCCGAATGTCGCAGGTGCGGTGAATATTCAGCTTGCCCATGAAACAAAAAATACGAAGTTTACAGGGCCATACCGCCCTCTTGACAGGATCCTTATCCATCCCTTTCTTTTCCAACCCTCTATGCGGGTATGATCCACATTAAACAAACAAACCTAGCGAATCACACATGAAGTTGTCAGTTTCAGTCTCAAATGTTCCGCCCGTGTGCAGTCCCTGCGGTAACCTACCCTTCCCCTGGAAAATCTTGCATTTGTAGATAAATTGCTTCCTGAATGTCGACAGATTTTCCAGTGTCAGGCGCTATAATATGCTAAAATTGCCTGCGCGTTTTGCTTGTTCACCTGCCC